CTCCTTCCACCATGAAGTTCCAGGATCCGATTAGATGTTGATCTCTCGTCTCTCCCTTCCCGTTTCATCTTACCCCTTCACTATCTGATGATTGACTGTTAGTTAACATGGGTTTTTTGCGTGGGGTACGTCGAGGGGCAGAGCACGAGAACAAGTTGGTCGATAAATTTAGGGGTAAGTGCATATTGAAAATTTTAAAACTTGTTACGAAAGTGCAATTGAATTATAAAACTTGCAAAAAGTATAATCAAGTCTTAAAACTTGTCAAATTGATGCAATCAAGTCCTTCAATTAACTTCATCCAACTTGACTAACAGATGACGTGACTAAAGCATGAAACATATGGCCAAAATGACGTCGTTTTGGTTTAAATTTGATTTTTTTATACGAATTATATTTAAAAAAATAAGCTAATTTTTTTTAAAAAAGGGAGAGTTGGAAACGAGGCGGCGAGGGCTTCCGCCGCTCATGACCCCCTTCACTGGCAGTCCTCGGTTAGAATTGGGCAAAGGTCGCCGAGTGAGGACCGTGATCCTCGCCCAGGCCCTCGCTTGCAGTCAGCAAGGGTCGACGATCCTTGCCTGGGGCCCAATGACCCCCGTAGACCCCACACCCCCCCCGTCATTGCCAGCCCTTCCCGACAATGGTGGGGCGTAGGCAGAGCCCTCACCGCCTGGTTTCCAACTCTCTCTCTCTCTCTCTCTCTCTCTCTCATTTAACTTTTTTTTTATTTAATATAAATAAAATTTGTATAAAAAGTCACATTTTGTCCAAAACAATTTAGCCTCATCGTTGCCATGTAGGAAGAGAAAATATTAAAAAAAAGTCACGTAAACGTTTTTCGTCAGCCAAGTTGGACAGAGTTGACAGAATGACTTGGTTGTATCAATTTGACAAGTTTTAGAACTTGATTGCGCGTTTTGCAAATTTTAGAACTCAATTGCACTTTTGTGACAAGTTTTAAAACTTCTAGTGCATTTATCCCATAAATTTATAACATACTTATTTTTTATTTTCAACAAGAAGATTGGATTAATTTCAGTAGATGATGCTACAATGAATAAATCGTAATTTATGAGGAATGATTATAATTCTCTAAATTTTTGGTGATTGAATAATTTTCTTTTATCGATTTGCTCATTTAATGAAATATGTGCTATCACGGGACAATAGATAAACTTTTTGTGATGATTTTTTTTTATGTTTTTTATTATTGGCTAATGTTATTTACTTTTAGCCAAGTCGATCTTGATGGCTCCCATGAAAAACATGAATACATCGGGATCTATCAATACCATCTGGCAATGAAATATGTGCTATTATATGGCTCTTTGAATACCTAAAAGTTTTCTTCTATAAACTCTATTTTATCACTGATACCTAAAAGGCTCCCTCTCACTTGCCTTGGCTTTCTAGCTTTCTCGGCATGCAAAAGATTGGAGTTAATGAATTTTTTGAATTTCCAATCTTACCCTCACTTACTGATCATAATTCCACATTTGCCCCCTTTTAACATAAGAACCCTTCATCTTCCCAGCCCGCCTCCTCCCTTGCAAGTGCATCTTCTTGTGCCCTCGCTCTCCTTGCACGGCTCGTACGCCTTCCACCCCTCCCTGAACGCCTCGACTGTTACATCCTCAATTTTAGTCCCTAGGAAATGGTTATGGTTTAAGTTTGGTGGTTTTCCAATCGGAGCCAATTTTACTTTTGTTCTGGAAAACTCAGATTCGGATCCTCTGTACCTCTTCGTTTTGTTATTTTTGTGGAGACTTTTGTGATCTGAATTTCTAAACACTTCCTTCTTAAAAGTTTCTCCAAACATCTTGACATTTTACATACTTTAATTTCACAATCTTGGGACATGATATGAGTAGTACGATAGCTTAATTTTCGACCGTGTAAAACTGCCTAGAATGGGTATTTCTGTGATGTTCACACTTTCTCGATTTTGTACAAATTTTTCTGGGCCGAATTTAAACAAACTTCCTTCACAAAAGTTGTTGAGAAATTATGTATTTATAACATATATAAATTTGAAAATTTTTGGAGATGAATTGGATTATTAAAAGAGCTTACTTTGAGAAGCAAAGATTCTGTTCCGGAAAACAGATTTTAGTCTGTTTTTGAGCTACTAAAAGTTGTAGTTACAGAAATATTTAGATTCCGTGTTCGTCATGGAAAATCTTTGTTAAGGCATTGTTTATAACATATCCAAATTTGAGAATTTTTTGAGTCCATTTACTATGTTTTTAAGCCCAATTTCTAGAAAAGTGCAAAAACTGTCAGTTTTGTCAGATTTCAAAGATTCATCATTTTCTATATGAGAACGTTGGAATCTCGACTTGATGTCTTCTAGTGATTTAATGTGCTCATTCTGAGCTTTCAAATGACCTATGCTAAGCTTTGATTGGAGGTCACATGATGGTACAAGCACATCTTGATATTCATAATCAAAATATATGGAAACTCTGAAAAGCAATGGTGACGGGGGATCAATCCTACATATCTGAAAATAAAGGAGTGAGCTAAAGCCCAGTAAATAAAATCTCAAAGTCTAAAGTTGGATATCCTCTTAACAAACAACGTAAGTGCACCATCTTTCCTAACATGATATGATGATGAAAACCATCAACAATATTGCATAAGATTATTCACTCAAATGCAAGCACAAGGCATATTATTTAATGATAAACAAATACCACATAGTAGCTCATCAACTTACATGGGAAATATCTATTCCCAACTCGTCATTGGCCATGACCCATCTCAACTCAGGAGGCATCCTGAACACTCCCGGGGCATCACGACGCACGGGACATCGTCACCACCAACTCTTAAAGAACGGAAACATAAATACTTTTTTGCCACGCCAGATAGCCCAATCATCACAGGCATCCTCCACATCAGCAATGATAAATATGCTATTGTGCGACCACATGATGATGCTCAACTCTAGCTACACGAGCCAACTTAGGCTATACAAAGCAACTCATGTCGTGTGTAATTTATAGGACTTTTATGTCCCCTAAACTTTGTACAGACCTGTCTCTAGACGGCTGAACATTTGTCTTTTCTCGGAGTCTTTCACACATACTTATATAAGGGAATTGGCTGTGGCGAAGGTCTTCCTTAATTGCCATTATTCACGTACATTTCATAACAACATAATAATCGCCATGTACATCTCAATCTCATCCAATTAATGATTAATTACATGCACTTCAAAACATATACCTTCTTCTCTTCTCATCATGCAATCATCGATGTAATAAAAGGGTTTAGTTAGGCAACCCAGTCACAAATCAGTTATTGGGTAGAATTGGCCAATGGGTAAAATCGACGAGTAGGTATGATCAACAAGCGGGTATAATCGATAGGTAGGTATAAGTATAATCTACAAGTAGGTATAATCAATAAGCGGGTATTTAACAGGTAGGTATAATCGCCAAGCGGGTATAATCGGCAAATGGTATAAATTATGTGAATATCACTCTCGAGTCTAGTTTCGTCACTTTCGCATTTTTCACATCCAACATGCTATCAAACCTCACGGAAATCAATCAAACATCTTTTAGGCATACAAGAACTATAAATACAAGTGAGATCATTACAATATCTCATCATGCCATTATTGAGGCTTATTCACGCTTAACATCAAATTCCAACTTAATTAACAAATATCAACTAACCAAGTCAAGAATGTTGAAGCTCACAATACAACCTAGAATGGGGGGTAGAATAGGCTGAATAAAGATACTGAAAATCTTTCGTGGAATAATACAACAATCAACAAGCCATATTATGTGAGATGTTTATCAGCATGTGTGATGCTAGTGCACAAATAAAGCATATAATGAGCACTGAAAATGTGATGGATCACACAATGTTTGACTTTATACCCAAGTCTACATCCACTCTTTAACTAATAGCCTAACATCAGCTGGATTCCATTAGTAATTAGCACTGCAAATTAAAACTAGCTAGTGTTATTCCTTTCACAAGATAGATCACACAATCATGACACAATGACCGCACTTACACTTGTACACTTGACTATCTGCTATTACAATGCTAAACCTTTACAAAGGAATATGAAATAAAGAATAGAGAAGATTTCTACTAGTTCCCTTTTGGTACCTCTAACTTGATTGGATTGCTCATCTAAGTTATCAAACCGTCTTTTCCAATTATGAGTCCTAAAGGTCATTCAATGTTGCAAAGTGTGCATGCAATTGTTTTTTGGCACTTGTGGTGTCATTTTCCCCTTTATTTAGAAATTTTGAACGGTTTTTGTACTTCAATATGGTCAAATAATATATGGTTGAAAAAGCCAATTCCAATCTAATCTTTTTATTTCTGGAGTAGTGTCAAGGGTCAATTTTTATCTATATCTCGTCTAAGGATTGTTGATCTTGTCTTGGAAGATAAACTTATAGGAGTCTTGAGATATGCCTATGCTTGGAAGGTGTTCCAAGTCTATATAAACTCTTCTAAGGATTCCTTGAGGGTGAGTGAGTGTTTTAATGATATTTTGGATTTGAACTCTTTGATTAAAGTTTCACTTCGTACCTCTTTGGTGAATTCCTTTAAGCGTCGGTTACATTTGCCGTAATTTGAGATGGATTCAATAGGTGGTGAGCAATTTCATTATCGCATTTGTGTTGACTTTGAAATCTCCAACTCCTCCGGTATCAATCTCCGTCCCTAGAAAAATAATTGTCTTGCTCAAGAAACTATTTGGCAGAGAATATTCAAAGTCCTAATTAGAAGTTGTTTTTTTGTGGAGAGGTCACGTCACATGGCATTTTGGAGAAACAAGTCAATCAGAAGTGAGAGATTTCAAATTTTAAACGCAAAGTTATACAGAATATATACCCATGACTTATATGGTTGTTCAATTATACTTTGTCAATCAAATGATGCATAGACTACTTTCTCCTTAAAATTCTCTTATGAAAGAACACATCTAGTTTCACGTACAACGCAACCCACCTTTGTCTTGCCAAACATTGAATAACTCAGTAGCAGCACAAATATGCACGCCTAAGAACGCTTAATCCACGTCATAGCTTCTTGGCTTATTTGGAAATCCCAGCTGTTTTTTGGTGTTTCACAAGCCTGTGTTCCTGAAAATAGTTAAGAAGGTTGTTGACATAACGTTCTTGGATGCCCTTGTCCCCAAAAATAGGCCTCATCTCCTTCGCTTTCTCTCGGTAAAGCCTCTCCTCCTCTTCCACCATCACCAGCCTCAGCGACTCGGCCACTGAGTGCCTCATGACCGACCCATCGGACTCATTTCTTGGTATTGGATACCCGATCTGTCTCTCCTCCAAGAGCTTCGCATTTAGTCCTTGATCTGCCAAGAATGTGAAAAGTATTAGGGCTCTCCCAAAGCTTAGTGCCTCCACCACTGAACTCCACTCGGCATGAGTCAAGAACTCGGCCACCGAGTCGTGCGCGAGTATCTTGAGCTGAGGCACCCAGCTCTTGCAGACCATGCTGTGCCCTTTGACTCGCTCCTCAAAACCGTCTGGTAACACGACCAACTCCGTGTCGGCAGCCCTGACCTGAGTCTTGAGTGCCCAGAAGAACGGTAACACAGAAAGCTCTAGCCCCAGTTCAGTTTGGCTTGGTTTGGCCTCGCTCCCAAATGCCACGTACACCACGGTACCTTTCTTTCGCGCATCGAGCGATTCCTTGATCGACTGCCATGAGTCTGTTTCACCTCGTGTCTCGGGATCGCTCGGGGGAAGTTGCCCAATAGGGAAGACTGGCTTGCCCTGCATATCCTTGAGTACACTTAACCATTCGGGTTCGAGCTCATAACTGCTTCTAAGTGCTATTATGTCACAGCTTTCCTGGCCCGCCCTGAACCGATATGTGTCTGAGATGCCCGATGCATCGCCCATTATCGCATCGAAAATCTTCTTGATCTCAAAGTGGCGGAATGCGACCTTAGTCGGGAAAGGAACCCACTTAGGGGATGTGGGAAAACTCAATCCCCGATCGACACATACGAAACATATTCGGAACGAATTCGATCAATGCGAAAAACATGCCCGAGGACCATCAACTTGTATCACCGATTGTACATGCATATCACACAACGAACATACCCGGTATTGTCACAGATTAAGTGTCACTTTGCGCTTGAGAGTTCTTCGATCGTCTTTCGTACTCATTTGCGTTTCGAAGCAAAAGCAGAGAAAACGTTATGTTCGAAGGAGTGTGTTTGCATATGGGAAAAAACACGTTAGTTTTTCCAAGGGGTGCCTACTATTTATAGTGATAGGCAAATAACTACCTTATGGGCCCTTGTGGCTCACAGGCCGGGTTTGGCTCATCTTGGGCGGTCCACCCATTATGTTTTTCATCTTCCACTCGCCCACGATGGGCTAAACACAACTCTCTTCCTTGCAAAGTTCATATTGGCAAATAATCCGTGCGACCAGCATACTACGAGAGCTCGTTGTTATACATCTGTTAGGAATATATAACAGCTCAAATTGGGCATTATCCAGAGTAGAATTAGTATGCAGTTCCCTAGATCAATCAGTCACATTTTTTTTTTATTTCTCTTGATCTCTTTTAGTATCTCGTATATTGTATTCACAACTATGATTTACTCAAAATCATAATTGGTCGACCTGTGAATACAAATATAGAATGTGACATCATAAATTAAATTGATCTTCCTCTTTCCTTAAACCTCTCCATTTCAGTCCAACTCGCTTTTCTAGAAATGCCCCGTTAGACCGAATTATCATGATTATCGGCAACATCCTAAGATAGCAAACACTGAATAGAAATTTTGAGAATAAGTAAGAGTCGTGAGGGCACTTTAATTGAGAAAAACTATTTTCCTCAAGAGTCTCACACGACTTAAAAATTGAGATCATAATTTTTACCAACTCTTATCGGTCGTCCCATGCATACGTAATATGAAATACGTATTACGGTATTCTCTCCTTTTCCCATAGAGTGTATGTCTTTACTTTCAATACCGTACAGATGATAGTTTAGACATACGCAATGTCTAACTTGAGTTCACAAATCTACTCTATTCATAAGCATCTATCAGAACTTACATCTGGCATTAAAGACAGGTAAAGTGAAATATGTGGGTCATTTCACTTTCGGACATAATAATCTATATGTCCTCATCTTAACATTCTGTTAAGGCGACGTCCATGCTTCAAGCTTAAGCTCTCAATTATCACCTAGATAACAAGCTTAAAACTGTCTCATCTCTTATTCATCACACAGTGAGTAGAGGCGATTATCGTGCGAGTGGGCTAATCTCTCATCTGTCCGACATACATTTTCAATATAATGCACTCAGCATCGACATTCACAAACATCATACAAACTTATAGGCATTGATAATAACAAACTTCATTAATAGTGAACATTCTGGGAAAATTACAATATTCAGTACATCATATTCTACACGGTCCTAGAGATCTCACATGACCATGGAAAACTTCTCTAGAAATCGGCTTCGTCATAGGATCTGCTATCATCCTTTGTGTAGATATGTACTTCACGTTCACTTTCTTTCGTGCAACCATGTTCTTGACATAGTTATACTTGATATCTATATGTTTGGTCTTTCCATGGTACTTGGGATCCTTAGTGTACGCTATTGCTGCTTGGCTATCACAATAGACCAATACTGGGTTTGCAGCATTCTCAGTAACACCTAAGTGATCCAAAAATCTTCTAAGCCAAACAGCTTCGTGTGCCGCTACTGATAAAGCCACGAACTCGGCTTCCATTGTAGATAAGGCTACACACTGTTGTTTCTTACTGCTCCAAGATATGACGCCATTATTCAGTAAGAACATGTATCCAGAAGTAGATTTCATTTCTTTTAAATCTCCTCCCCAGTCAGCATCAGTATAGCTTTCAAGGTGTAGATCACTTTCTTGATAAGTCAGCGCATAGTCGGCACTTCCCTTTAGATATTTCAGGATTCTTTTGACGGCGATCCAATGTGCTTGACCTGGATTGGATTGGTATCTACTTACCATTCCAACTGCATAACAAATATCAGGTCTTGTACGCATCATAGCGTACATCAAGCTTCCGACAGCACTAGCATATAGAACTTGTTCCATTTGCTCCTTTTCTTGTGAAGTCTTAGGACATATTCTGTCGCTTAATGCTTCGCCCTTTGCAATAGGAGTATCTATTGGTTTACAGTCTTGTATACGAAATTGCTCAAGGATTTTATTCACATACGTCTCTTGTGAAAGGGATAGGGATTTCTTTGAGCGATCTCTTGAAATCTTAACTCCAAGAATGTATGTAGCTTCACCCATATCTTTCATCTCAAAATTGGAAGATAACCAATTCTTGACTATATTAACAAACTCCATACTGCTTCCGGCAATTAGTATATCATCAACATATAATGATAAGATCACAAATTGATCTTTGGATTTTTTGATATATACATAATTGTCTTCACTAATCATTACAAAATCATATGCCATTATGGCATTGTGAAAACGTATATACCATTGTCTCGAAGACTGCTTAAGGCCATATATCGATCTCAATAGTCGACACACTTTGTGCTCCTGGCCTTTTGTAACGAAACTAACAGGTTGTTCCATATAAATTTATTCCTCTAATTCTCCATTGAGGAATGCAGTCTTTACATCCATTTGATGCAATTCAAGATCCATACTAGCTACTATTGCTAGAATAATGCGAATAGAGGTAAATCTAACCACAGGAGAAAAGTTTCTTCAAAGTCAACTCCTTCATGTTGATTATATCCTTTCGCCACAAGGCAAGCCTTATACCTCTCTATTGAGCCATCAGCCTTACGCTTTATTTTGAGAATCCACTTGTTCCTAATGGCTTTGCGTCCTTTTGGAAGGTCAACCAATTCCCAAACTTGGTTTGATCTTAATGACTCCATTTCTTCTTCTATTGCATGTATCCATTTTTCCTTATCAGGGCACATTAGAGCATCGTTCTCATTCTTCGGCTCATCTTTATCTTGTGGGGCGATCATGAAAGCTTCTCCTTCAATGTCAAAACGTCGACGGGGAATCCTATTACGACTTGACTGTCGTATGGAATGCTGTACTCCTGATGATTCACCACGTTCCATTGCACTCCCACTCGAATTAGATAATGGTGGTGTTGTCTCTTTAAGTGGTTGCAATTGAGACTGGGTTGCATTCAACTCTCCATTTGTCACAATGCTCCCACTAACTTCACTATCACGATCCACAGATTCGTATAGTGAGTAATTTCCATCTACTTCACCCTTTTTAGGAAATTCATTCTCTAAGAATATGACATCCCGTGATTCAAATTCAGTTATACTTCCGCTTTCTTGCTCACCTATGAATACATATCCTTTTGAGTGCTCTGAGTATCTTATAAAAATACTCTTTTTGCCTCTTGGGCCTAATTTTCCATACTTGTGAGAAGACTCACGAGTATAGGCATCACAACCCCAAGGTTTTAGAAAGCTTAAATCAGGCTTTCTGCCTGTCCATAACTCATATGGGGTAGAAGCAACTGATTTAGAAGGCACACGGTTAAGTATGTAGGCAGCAGTCAACAAAGCATCACCCCAAAAAGTGATGGGCAAGTTAGCTTGTGCCATCATTGACCTAACCATTTCCATTAAGGTTCTGTTTCTTCTTTCCGCAACACCATTTTGTTGAGGAGTATATGGAATAGTCAGTTGTCTTTCTATTCCCTTTTCATCTGAACTGATCAGGCAGATATTCTCGACCTCGATCGGATCTTAATGCTTTTATTTTCTTGTCTAATTGATTTTTCACCAAGCTCATAAATCTTTTAAAGCAATTTAAAACCTCGGACTTATGAAAAATCAAATCGTTATGTCCGAATCGAGTATGATCATCAATGAACGTGATGAAATAAACAGACCTGTGCCTTGCTTTTACATTCATTGGACCACAGATGTCAGTATGGATTAATTGCAAAGGAAATTTAGCTCTTGTTCCTTTTCCAAATGGTTTCCGCGTTGTTTTTCCTTCTAGACAATGCTCACATATGGGCAAATTAACCTTTTTAATATTACCCAATAAGCCATCTTTAGCCAATCTATTCATTCTTTGTTGGCCAATATGACCAAGTCTAGCATGCCACACGTTCACATCATTCTCATAAGAATCAGATGATGTAAATAAGGAATAACTAACATTAACTTCACAATAGTCAACATTTAATACAATGAAACCATCTAAAAAAATATCCGCAACCATAATAACTTGTAGCTAAAGACAAGTCTACACCATTGTTATGGAAGTTTACATTAAAATCAAGTCTAACTAAAACCAACACCGAAACTAAGTTTCGACGAATCTCTGGAGCGAATAGCACATCATATAGGAATAATGTGCGTCCACCGCGCATAAGTAGTTGACAGGTGCCAATGCCTCTGACCTCCACTCTTGAATTGTTCCCTAAGTATATCCACTTCGTTCCTTGTGGAACTCGTCGGAACTCCACGAAAGCTTCTCTGTCCTTCGCTACATGGTCTGTGGCTCCCGAGTCTACAGTCCACAAAGGATTAGATTCAGTTAGAAACACTGAACTAGACACATAAGTAGCATTTTCATTAATGCTAAGGGTTTCTACCTTCTTTGGCTCGCCACAGTCACGAGCAAAGTGACCCTTCTTGCCACAGTTGTAACATTTCACTCTTGAAATGTTCTTCTTGAAAGGACGCTTTCCTTTCTCCCGTTGGTTATACCTCGGCTTCTTCCCTGAAGGCCTTGCTCCCTTGCCTTTCTACTTCTTTGACCCAGTAGGATGCTTCCTCTTGGAGCCCGAAACTCCATGCGAGCTAGAACCAGCAAAGTAAATATCAGTTTCTGGCTTAGCCGCCATGAGGCGATCCTCTTCCAGCTCAAGATGTCGCATAGCATCCTCGAAGGTTTTGATACCCTCATTGTGGGTCAAATGGATCTTCATGTGCTCCCAGCTTTGAGGCAAGGAGCGGATTACTGCCTGCACCTGCTGTTTATCAATGAGTATGTGGCCGGCATCCTTTAGCTCACTAATCATATTCGATAGCTGCCTCAAATGTTGTTTCATGGTCTTTCCATGAGACATCTTGTATGCGTCGAAACGGATAGTGAGTTGTCTCAGTTTGGTCACAGAAGTTCGACCAAATCTTGATGCCAGTGCAGCCCACATGTCTTTGGCGCTCTGGAAACGTCCGAACTCTCGCATGATGTCATTGTCCATGCTGCTTAGCAACGTAATGCGGCAAGAGAGTTCTTTCTTTTCCAAACAGCAAAGGCATCTTTGTCCCTTTTGTGTTGGGCAGTTGTCCCATCCTCAGGTTCTTCCATAATCTGGTTAAGAGCTTCGAGTGCCTCTTGCTCTTCCAGCACATATTGAATCTTGAGACTCCAAATCTCATAATTGTCGCCATTCAATTTTTCTCCCTTATTAAGTTCAGTCACTATGTTCTTAGTTGCTGAAGCCATCGTATCTAAACATTTCAGACAGATACGCACGAATTATTAAAGCCTATCTAAATGCTTCATCAACATCATGATTACATAAACTAATCATATTAATGAATAATTTCACAAAAGGTCTTAGAGTCGAAAGTTCACTATGTTCCCAATCATCGTCTAAAAAAACCTAATTTGAAATTATCATTAACATAATTATTTATGTAAAGGAATTGGTTCTTCAAAAGTTATACAAACTTTTAAGAACTTCCCACATATAACATAACATATAATATGGCAATATAAAATGAGAAATCACAAAAATTCATAGCCATATATATTTCATAACACATTCACAAATATTTAAGAACATGTAATATCAACTTGAAATATGTACAGAATTGATTCCAAATCCTAAAAGAACAATATCAAGTGTACCAATCCAACACATAGACAGGAAATGCCTCATAAAATTCTTTAGAAAGTTCTATTTTCTTTGGAACATAAACAGAGGCTCCCGGAAAACCCCTAGATCCGGGCCATGATTTGCGTCGAGACCCATTCAATGCAAGGGTTGATGTTCTCCTTGCCCCGACCCTTATGTATTCTTGCAGAAAATTCTCCACAAGCATCTTATAGCTTGGACCCTTTAAGGTTTCTTTAACCTTTTCAAGCATTCTTCCCAACCCCTCAGGAATAGTGCATTTAGGGCTCCGACCATTACATATTTCGGCATTACAAAATCGTTCCAAATGATATCATGTATCATTTTGTTGACCTTGATGATGTGTATCATCATATCATCTCCAGCGTCCCATCGATAAAGAGCTAGCTTGATTCTTAGTTTCTCAAGCCTCTCCTTTTGAGCTGCTGTTCTTGGGATTATCGGAGTGCGTCTCAAATGTACCATTGCTCCTGCAACGAATGCAGAACAAAGGAATTACTTATAATCCATGATATATTAAGATAAGGAATGCTTATTCATATACATATGATCTAGCACTTGTATTTCAAAAAACTATAGAGAAATACTAGAGAAAATGCCAAAGAATATACCCCTAAGTACGTGTACATAGGGTTTATCGTGCATTTTCACATTCATAAGTGCAGCAAACATGTCATATGAATATAACATGATGTAGAGCATTCCGATACGAGCACGTCGATACCAAGAACGCCCAAATCGGAGTTCAAATGAGCTCGAACGGGCCGAAAGAACACAATGGGGTCGTTCTGCCCAGTTTGAACCGGTCCGGTTCGACCTGTTTGACCGGTCCGACCGTTGACCGGTCAACGGTCAATCGGTTCGGGTCAACAGGTCGGGTCAACGGTCAACTGGGTCGGGTCAACAGTAAACCGAGTCGGGTCAATGGGTCGGGTCTGCGGTCAACCGGGTCGGGTCTTGGGTCCATGCTCCCGATGACGTCACGCTGACTTCATCGTCGGCGGTTAGGCGGCGACTGACGTGCCATTTCGCATGGCCGCGCGTGGGCCTCACGCGCCGTCACGCGCACGACCCTTGTAAGCGCGTGAGGGCGCGTGCGGCATCCTCTGGCAACGCGCCGCCCCTCATTTTGCTTGTCTCGACAAGCAATTTCTGTTTATGCAATAAAATTTAAGTTTTGATGAAAAACAAAAATCGAAACATGCATGAACAGTTCGGCGACGCGAAGAAATCGAACAAAAACGAGGCCAAAACGAAAAAACAAGCAATATACACTTCAATGTTAGAGATGATACACATGCATGATCAGGAAACAAGTAAACGGGCTCTGATACCAATGTGGGAAAACTCAATCCCCGATCGACACATACGAAACATATTCGGAACGAATTCGATCAATGCGGAAAACGTGCCCGAGGACCATCAACTTGTATCACCGATCGTACAGGCATATCACACAACGAACATATCTTGTGAGTTCTTCGATCGTCTTTCGTACTCGTTTGCGTTCCGAAGCAAAAGCAGAGAAAACGTTATGTTCGAAGGAGTGTGTTTGCATATGGGAAAAAACACGTTAGTTTTTCCAAGGGGTGCCTATTATTTATAGTGATAGGCAAATAACTACCTTGTGGGCCCTCGTGGCTCACGGGCCGGGTTTGGCCCATCTTGGGCGGTCCACCCATTATGTCTTTCAGGGGGCATGGTAAAATCCTCCGGAGTTTTCCGGTAGTCTCCCCCCTTCGAAACCCACATTGGTCCGAGGAAGCCCAAGCTGGCAGCATTGAGAATAGCGAAGGAAACACTCCTTATGCCGAGCCTTGAAGCGATTTCGCCAACCCAATACGGAGCGAAATCGTACATGATCCAATCGGGATCCGAAGATTCGAGGAACTGGGCCACGGGGTCTTGGAGCATGTCGTAAGCCTTCTTGAGGTATGGGACCTTGTCGTAAGGCAGGTCGCTGGTGGCTTCAGCGCCCTCTGGCAAGTGTTCCACGGCCGGTAAGGGGAGCCTCACGAAGCTGATGAGAGGAGCGAGGTCTGGAGGGGGTTTCGGGAGGCGATCTATGTTTCTCGGGGCCGCTAGGAACGATATCCGGTGACCCTTTCCGGCAATCCACTTGGCTAGCTCCATGTATGGCATCATGTGGCCAAAGGCCAACCACGGAAGCATCACTATGTGGAGATTATCATGTGTATCGGCCATTGCCAATAGACCAAAATTCGTGGTGAGCTCGACAAAAGCTAGTACACGCTCTAGTGGGTATTTACAACTGTGTGAGCTTATAAGACTTTGAAGTTATATAAATAGAGCATGAGTGAAACTTTTGTCGTCCATGCCGTCTGGGATGACACATTACTTTCCAAGGACCACTTAGTTTGTCAAGTTGAGTTTGTCTTCATGTTGATAGAAGTTCGTGAAATTTTTTGAAGCATCTGTGAGATGATTCGCCGAGGTTGGAAGGTCGTTTCTACTCGTCTTCATATGGAGAACATTATATGTAATCAGTGTTTTGTCCGTCCATTAAAATAGTGCTGCAAAATGATGAGTTCATGGGCGGCAGGTTGGTTTAATCTCTTCTGAAAGCATTGTGATGGATGAATGTATTGTTCCGTTTGGGAAAAACCATGGAACAGTATTCCGTCCCATCATAATTTTTTGGTGATTTGTAAATTCTAAATCATGTTAATTATAAGATTTTGATGGACCGCAACCAATTATTTTAAAAGATTAAATTGTTAGATAAATACGTAATTTAATATTTAATTATTATAACATTAATAAACACGTTTAGTTGATAATTGATTAATGCATAACGTTAACAACTTACCAACGTCAAATACAAGAGTTGACTATCAACTTTTTTAGTAATTTATACTTCAATAAAGAAAATTAGAGGTGAAAATAGTAAATTACTGGTGAACTTAGTAACTTACCAACGTAGATCCGCTTTTTGAGATAGTAAGTTATTGGGAAAAGTGTCAGAAAAGTCTTAAACCTATTGCATTTGTGCCAATTTAGTCATAAATCTCTTAATTGTACCAATATAGTCATAAACATTTTGACTTAGAGCCAATTCAATCCTTCCGGCTAATTTTGGTCGGATATTACTGACATGGACGCTGGCCGACCTACGTGGCACTGTCGATAGGTCGGCTGGTGTTAACGTAGACAACTTTTAACAATATTTTAAGATATATTTTTTGAATTTTTTTATTTATATTTTATTTTTCCTTTTTTTCTTTTCTTCCTCTTTTTTTTTTTTTCCTTCCCTTCCTTCTTCCTCCATTCGATCGTCGGACCTGGGTAACTAATTAGATGCAAGGGCTGGCGAGGGCGAGCCTCGCCATGGCTGGGCGAGGCTTAAGCCCTCTCCAGAGGCTACGAGGATGGCCTCGTGCTAGGCTAGTGAAGCTCTCCCTTGCTGACCCTCGCCTTTGGCCAATTGCTCAAGCGAGGATGGCCCTCGCCAACCATGGCCGTGTCGGCCACCGAAGGAAAGAGGAGGAAAAAAAAGAGAAAAAAAAAAGAAAAGAAAAAAAGAAAGAAAGAAAATAGAAAAATAGAAAATTATTAAGAAAGAATCCATGCTAGCGCCAGCCGTGTCATATAGGCCGGCCGTCGTCCACATCAGCAATATCCGATCAAAATTAGTCTGAAGGATTGAATTGGCTCTAGGTCAAAAAGTTTATAACTAAATTGACACAATTAAAATGTTTATGACTAAATTGGCATCAGTGCAATAGGTTTAGGACTTTTTTGACACTTTTCCTGTAAATTATTAGTAGAGTAAGGAATATACGGACTTCAAGTTGAATGTAAATAATTTATATAGAAATTTACCTCTCAAAAGTCACTAGTGAGTAATCAATTTATATAGAAAATTACTTCTTAATTTAAAAAGTCACCAGTAACATTAGTAACTTACCTCAATGCAAGTCCACTTACAAGTTTGTGGGGAAAATTGTTCAAAGATGGCAACCTATTGCATTTTTGCCAATTCAATCCTAAACCTTTCAATTTTTCTAATTGAGTCTTAAACCTTTTCACAATTTAAAATTTTCGAAATTTTTGTTGATTTTAAAAAATAGTCCACGTTAGTGCCGACTGCGCCGTGTAGGACTATCGGTGCTAACTAGACTTCCACGTCGGCGATTTTTTTTATCAAAATTAGTTAGAAGGACTACATCGGCAAAATTGAAAGGTTTAGGATTGAATTGATAAATTATAAAAAAATTTAAGACTAAATTGGCATAATTAAAAAGTTTAGGATTAAATTGGCCGCCGTATAATAGGTTTAGGACTTTTTGGACAATTTTATGGTGTTTGGCTAAAATTTGAAAAAGAAACGGAAAATATTTTCCGTCATTTAGAAAGGAAAATTTAATTTGATTTTCTTAAATATACATACACTATTTAGGCGCTAGTGACTTGTGTACGGGCAATCAGGGAACCAGGCAAGGGCATTAGGATCTCGGGTTCACTCTCGATGGACCTCGACCCAAGCATTGTAGACCTAGGCAAGGCCACTTGGGTCCCGAGCAATAGCGCAAGCATCGATCCCTCGTCCACAGAAGCCGAAACCGAGAACCCAATGCCTGTGCAAAACTTCATGGCTTCTCGGGCCGAGTCCATAGTGGTTGGGCCCGAGGCCTCGGTGCCCGAGCCCAGGTCCACAAGGACTGGGTGTGGACTCCAGTCACCGGGTCCACAAGGGCCAAGAGTAGGACCCTGGTGACCCGAGTCCCTAGTGCTTAAGCTCAGGTCCTCAACTGTGATACCTCAGAACGTCACGCGCGACACGTGTATTTTATTATTACTAATCTTTATTAATAATTTGGCCAGCGGAAGTCACAGTCTGAATAAGTTTTAAACATGAATATCACACAAGTTTAGTCAAAATACTTTATCTTCTTATTAACAACACTTGTCAGATTTACAAGTCCAGACAATACATCATATAAGTACAAAAGCTACCTATCTCCATACTAAGTTATACTCCAAAATTCTACCTGGACAAAAGTCTGATGACGTCATGGATCAATGACTTCACCCTCCGATGTAGAACCACCATCATCTAAGTCGAAGCCCCTCAATAGGCCAATTAACTCGCCGTCATGGTTAAAGTACCATGCAACAAAAAGATAAGGATCCCATTCTGTCAAACCCATGTCAATCCAGACAGTAGAGCTACATTTAGTATATGCTGCTTCAGACTCAGGCACAAACACATTTTCATAGACAACTTCATGATATACGGGAACTCCAAAACGTAGAGGCTGTGGAACATTCATCCTACATGTCTGAAAAATAAAAGAATGAGCCAAGACTTAGTAAATGAAATCTCTAGTTTTCAGTTAGGAAAATCAGCTTACTACTTCATCTGGTACAAACAACATACATGCATAACAAACAGTATGCATAGAATTTGAAAAAAATGTTATACCTTTTTCCATCTGGATATGCCACAAAATCTGAACAATTCAGCATTTCACAATACTTTTACTTAGACGCAAGCATATGATGTAAAACATTCACGCTCATGCGTTAGGTTCATTACTTCTTCCTCCCGAACACTCCCAGGGCATCCCGACCAACAGGGTATCCCAACTCCGAGACATCCTGGTACACCCTCCGGGGCATCCCGACCAACGGGGCATCTCGACTCCCGAGGCATCTCGAACACTCCCGGGGCATCTCGACACACTGGGCATCGTCACCGTTGAATTGTGAGTGACGGAATTTATATTATTCTCATGCAAGTAATGACAACCAAGTATTTGCATGCATATCTCACCTTCTTTACATCATATGTCCTTTAAAGCAATGAAATGCATCGGTCAAGCAAATAAGTATGAAGCAATACGGTTCAGACTTAAAAGGCTAAAGTCTACTCAAGTTCAGAAAGTACACATATCCAGATTTTGTGATAAAACTTCCTCGATTTAGAGAACACGTTTATCCAGACTTTGAAAGTAAAGTCTACTCGAGTTCAAAATACATACGTCCAGATTTTGAAAATAAAGTTTACTCGGGTTTAAAATACATATATCCAGACTTTGAAAATAAAGTCTACTTGGGTTCAAAATACATATGTCCAGACTTTGAAAATAAAATCTACTTGAGTTCAAAAATACATACATCCAGACTTTGAAAATAAGTTTTGGACAGTTTTAAAAATAAGCCTATCCAGATTCTGACAGTAAAGTCTGTTCAGTTTCAGAAGTAAACAGAATTAAAATTTGAGGTTAAAATCTATTCAGCTCAGAAATAAACAGAATCAGAATTTGAGGTTAAAATCTGTTCAGCTCAGAAGTAAACATAATCAGAATTTGAGGTTAAAATCTGCTCAGCTTAGAAGTAAACAGAATCATCATTTACACTCACCTAATATACTTCACTTTGAGTAAAATGATTTTCTACCCTTTTAAAACATACATAAAATCAGCAAGACAATTTCCACAATCACCTCAAAGATGATATTTATACGTTTAGATTTAACCATTTCACTTATCGATTTTCAACACACTTTAAAGAAACAAAACACATCCATTTGAACATGTACAGAACCAGCAAAGCAGATTCAACCATCACCATATCTTCACTATTATCATACATCAGAATAGCATTTTTCAAGTAACCAAGTTAAAAAGTGTAAAGTAGATTTACTTAGCTTAAATCTAGATTCTTCACTTACCTCACCTAAAATTTGAATGCCCAAAATTAGCTTATAGATTTTGGATTGGATGTTGATGAAGTAAATTCTCTTTGAAGATTGACAGTGAAGAAGAGAGTTACGGTTTAGGATAAAAAAAATTCCTTCAGTGTTACCCAGATGAAAATGAAACAGAGAAGTAGTTTGTGAGATGGATAAGTGCATGCACTCACAGGTGGCACTTCCTCTTTCCATCCACGACCAGGTGTAAGAAATCTAAGTTTATTAGGGATGAGTAATGGCCAAGGAAAATGATGGCCTATGGCTAGGTGTCAAGCTAATACAAGAAGCTTATCCTAAGAGGGCATGTGGCATGATTAATCCTTCATAGAGAGGAAGGTGACTTGAGGGAATTTTGTGAGAAAACAGAATATCTTCCCCCCGCCCCCCCCTTAACGACAATTAGAAAATAATAATTATCACTAATTAACTAAGGTTTACTCTAATAATATTACCCATTAATTACTAAGACGACGGCAATTTAATCAATACTGCACTACTATTAACGTACACAACAACATTTAAAATTCTATATACGTCGAGCTTGAAACGATTACGTTCCCAAATTCGCGCCTCACAATTTACTGTCCAACAACGATTTCTACGCGTCCACACAAATACTAAGCTAAATAATACTTAGCTTATAATCCAAATATCATTATAGAACATAGAAAATTTCCAACGTCACATACTTATTATTACGAAATTTCTGGATGTCATATCTACACTCGAGCCCTGATCCATCGAGGCTGGCCCGAGGACTCCAGTGCTTGTGCCCAGGTCCCTGACTACCAAGCCCAAGTCCTTGGTGATTGGGCTTGGGTCCATTGAGGCCAGGCTTGGCCCCTGGTCGTCGGAGCTCGAGATTGGCATCAATGGACATGAGCTCGGGCGTCGGGGACCTGAGCATTAGAACCGAAATTCCAAGCCCAATCTCGATGGACCTAGGCACTGGCACTGGAGTCCTGGGCTTCGACCTTGATGGACTCGGGCTTAGGCGCAGGAGATCCAAGTACTGGCATTGGGGTCTTGAGCTCGGGGACCCGAGCATGGTCACCGGGGTCTTGCGCTTGGCCTCGATGGATCAAAGTCCAAGCTCTGGAGACCTAGGTACGGGCACCGTAGTCTTGGGTGCGGCCTCGATAGCCCCAGGCATGGGCATTGGGGTCTCAAGCCTCAACCTCGTTGGTTCTGAGCTCGAGCATAGGGGATTCGAGTATAGGCACAACGGTCTTCGGCTCGGCCTTGATGGACTTGTGCACGGGCGCGAGGGACCCAGGCATGGGCATTGGGGCCTCAGGGCTACCTCCATGGACTCGAGCTCTGGCTTAGGCGCGAGGGATCCGTGCACGGGTACCAAGGACCTAAGCACTACCTTTGTGGACCCAGGCTTGAGCATGGGGGATCCTAGCACGGGTAGCGAGGTCCTGAACTCGGCCTAGATGGACCTGGCCCTGGTGTCGGGGCATCGAGGCCTCGATGGACCCAGGCCCTGGCACGGGAGACCCGGGCACTAGCACCAAAATCCTGGGCCCGACCTCAATGGATCGGGGCATGGGTGACAAGGACTTGAGATTGGACCCCGAGGACCTGATACTAGGTGCGGGGACTAGGGCATCTTTTCCCTTGCCATGTAGGGCTTTTTTGACTAGCTGGCTGGGAATAGGAAATTCCTATTTGTCAACCTGTACACAAAGAAAGGGGTTCCCCCGACACCATTAGATCGACCTCCTTTTTATTTTGAGTAAGGTAGCCGAGATCGGTATTCTTCTCAATAATCCATATTTGTAGCAATGAAATACTAAAATCCCTTGCTTGAGAATCCTCGAAAGGGGAAAGTAGGAGGATTCTGTTGAAAAAAATAGACTAGGGCTATTGCCCTTGGTAAGACAGCATCTCTCAGTATGTGCGTGCTTTACCCAGAGACCTGATACTGGGTGCGGGGACTTAGGCACATGCACCGAGGTCGCGGGCCCAAGCGCTAGGGACCCAGGAATGGTGTTAAGGTTCTCGTTCTCAAACACAAAGTTTTTTATCTAAACGCCAATATCTAGTCATATTTTGAAAAATGATTTTCGATTTTTTAAAAAGGAAATCATTTTCTTGAATTTAGGCATGCTGATCAGGAAAACATTTTCTGTTAACTCATTTTCCTAAGCGATCCAAATACTGAAAAATGAGAAAAATATTTTCTCAAAAAATGTTTTCCGTAAAACAAACAAAGCATCACCAAATGCGTTAAAATTCCTTTCTTCTTTTGGTAATTGATGCACTTTAACTGGAACCCGACTCCACCTACATGCTGACAAGGTCAACATTTGGCAACGACGTGGTGATTAAGTGAATTGATCGCGTGTCTCCCGCGTTAGCATTTCCCTGAAAAGTTGGCTAGTTAAACAAAGGGAAAACGTTGCCTTTCTGGTTTTGTTAGTCTCTAGTTGCCATAAAATTAAAAGAAGGGTTAATACCACAAAAAACTCCAAACTGGTACGCATGTGATAATTTTACCCCGAATTTTTTTTTTACCACTAAAAACCTCAAACTGGTACGCTTGTGACAATTTTACTCTGAACTTTATTTTTTACCATAAAAAATCCCAAATTGGTACGCCTGTGACAATTTTACGCCGAATATACCACAAAAAACCCCAAACTGGTACACTTGTGACAATTTTACCCTGAACATACCACAAAAAATCTCAAACTGGTACACATGTGATAATTTTACCATAAACTAAAATTTTAATATTATTTTTTCGAATTTTTTTGTTTTTTCTTTTGTTTTTTTTTTCTCTTCATCTTCAACCTCTGGCCGGTCGCTGGATCGGCGACTGGCCAAAGGCAGAAGCCGGCGAGGTCGGCCCCGCCGGCTGCTGGCGAGGCTCGACCTCGCCGGCTCGGGAGAGGGCGACCCTCGCCTGGGCGGGCGAGGACAGCCCTCGCCCGACTCAGGCGAGGGTCGCCCTCGCCTAGGCGGGCGAGGACAGCTCTCGCCCGATGCCGACGAGGGCAGCCCTCGCCTGAGTTGGGAGAGGGCGGCCCTCGCCGGCGTCGGGCGAGAGCTGTTCTTGCCCAACACCGGCGAGGGCAGCCCTCGCCTGAGTTGGGCGAGGGCAGCCCTCGCTTGAGTCGGGCGAGGGCAGCCCTCGCCGGATGCCGCCGCCGGTCGCCGACGAAAAATATTTTCCGAAACATTTTCATATTGATCGCCGAACACCGGAAAATTATGTTCCGGGAAAACATTTTCCAGGAAAATGACTTCCGGGAAAATATTTTCCAAAAGGAGAATATTTTCCGCCAAACGAACGGAGCCTTAGAAAATTCAATCTTAGCCTCAGAAAATTCAATCTTATACAGGTATGAACCAGGCCTAAATTTATCTACTACAATCAGAGCCAGTGCATGTGTCCGGCGTAAACTTGGATCGACTAAAACTAGATCAGAACATCCAATGCCACTCTCTTTACAGCCTCTGGACAACCCGTGTACATTGGACAGATCAATTCAACAGCCAACCTAGTGTCATGAGAGACTCTGACTGAGATTGAATTAGGTGTGAATATAAGCCGAATCAAGCTCAACATAGTAAAGCTGCATTCATTCACGACAAGTCAAAGCACATTATAGTACAACACTTATCAAACTACCGTGGGATTTAGATAATTCGACAGCCATACATGATACATCTCAAAACTCATCCAACATCCTCTTCCCAATAAACCTTGAGGAACATAGGTGCCTGATTTTTTTTAATATATCAACCACGGTTCCGTTTGCATTAGCAAACGAGAACTACTTTTTAATTAATCTAAAGCTAGAAATTCATGTCGTATTGCTGTCCATGTAGATAATATTGAGGTGTAGTACTTGCTAGTTTGATTGATGCATCTATTTCTGTGTTAGCTTCACTATCGTAATCAGCAAAATCTAACACATAAAACACATGAAGGAAAAATGCGCAGTTATGTCCCAAACAGGAAGCAACAACATGATCCAAGAGCCATGTATATTATCTATGGACTGACAAGTTTAGAAATTGCAGATTAATTAAGAAAATGTGGAAGCAATACATCTGGAGTCCTTAAAAATGTATAAACCTAGAACTGAAGTTGTAAAAAGTTCAAGTTCAATTAAAATACAAAAGAAAGCAATACCTTATGTATTATTGTACTCTTGTTGGTTACCGAATTTCCCAACACAACTCAACGTATCATAACTCTTGCGAGTCATTTGTAAAAAGATGAATTCCATATTCCCCCATTAGGTAACTTCGACAATCAAAAGAAAACGATCCCAGTTTTGTTTTTTGCCTAAAAAAACAATAACAAAACTTCTATCCATTATATCTTCTCAAAATCTAAAATTAGGATTTAGACTCAGAAGCTCATATTTGATGTGCCTGTAAAACTATATAAGAGATAACTGTATCATAAACATGACAGAGGAGTCGAGAAATATATTGATTCTTAAAACACTAAACCAAGAAAAGTTACACTCACATTCCATTTGCATTAACAATGACGTAAATCCCCAGACATTGGCAAATACAGATAGTAAATACCCTATAACTGCAAAAATGCCATTATTTGTGATTCTGTGAAGGCAAAATGAATAATGAGTGATTTCTTAATGTAAGGACCCATAGGCGCATGCAAAGGGGAAACAAGGTAGAAGTATAAGAGGTTGGTGGATGGTACAAAGTGATTGTAGCTTGGTACTGTTCTTCCCCCTCTTCCTTTGATGATGTAGCATACTTGTAAACCTATCATAAATTTTTAATTTTCATCAAAAACCAAATCCCACTTTATCATAATCAAGGGAAACAACCATAATTTCTGGTCCTGTATTAAACTGGGTTTCTGCAAATGCTTCAACGATATTTACGAGAAACCATTCAAAACTGACTTCATATTTTGAACTCAGAAAGACTTTGCAGCTGAGAAGGCTTTAGAGTTCTATTAAGAGTCAATGCCAAATCTGAACTTGGCATTCTAACCCAGCTACTTAAGAAAACTAAGAAATTGGGGATTACATTTTACACAATAGTTGACTTTAAAAATAAAGGTGAAAAAACATGAGCGCAAAAGCAAATTGAGATTCTAAAAAGCTCGTCATTCAACAGATAGGAAGCTCTAAGTTCAAGAGACAGGATATCCAATCCAAAGTTTACGGTCCTCAGTTACAGCAACACACACAAATACAGTTAATATTGATGTCCTATCCAGCCCTAATCGCTAATTTACCCAATCAAGAGCCCTTGACAGTGTAGGCGCTCACTTCAGATACCCTCATTTCGATAGTACAGTCCACCACTCCATTGAATGCTCAGACACAGTAGGGAAGGAAATACTAGTGCAGACCAACACATATCAAGATGCCATCTTTGCGCATAACAATCTATTAGGCACTATAGGATCAATATTAGTCAAAAAGACATGCCCCTAATGGAAAGCTTGAAATTATCTATTCTAGTCATCATCTTCTTTTATTAAAATTATCGATTCTGGTCATGATCACGAAATGGTTGAGAAAGAACACCATTCAGTTGATTTATCAACAATAATACTAGAAGACTAGTTTAGTTCAAATATATATTACCACAATATGAACTAGTCACTTAAGTCATTATGCTTAATAATGCAACAGATATTATTTATTTATTTTTTCGACGTAGATATTATTCATATTAACCGTGCATAGAACCAACAATAATCATAAGTAATCTCACTCATCGTGAATACTATAACTCAGTCAGGACTGCAACTTCTTCATATGCATGCATGCATGTGCGCACGCGCGTGCGCTTAAAGATAATTTAAGATATGAGAAAGTCGACATCAACATTTATATAAGAAAATGAACCCACTTTTGTAAAAGCACTCAACTGGGTAAGAATTGGTTGCATCCAGCACATCATATGAGATTTCCATCAAAATCAGCATTTTCAGGAGCCAGACACGATCACTAGTAGCTGCAATTCTCCTGTCAAACAAGCCAATTATGACAAACAGACAGATGAATAACTTTACAATAAAAGTTCACGCTACCCATTAACTGTCTATCAAAAGGTTGGCAAGAACAGATAGTACTTCTTGCCCATTAAGATCATGATTTGGAATAAAAAGGATCCAAAGTTCGTTAAGCAATGCCAATTACCAACTATTAGAATACCATATCTTAGTGGTATTTGACAGAGTACCACACAAAACCTTTCTAGTTTCCAGACAAGCAGATTTGAGAGTGAGAACCCCCTTTTATGGTTTTTGTTTTTTTGTATCCTTTTTCTTTTAGGTATGGATAGCTGTATGGAATCAGATCCTGAGGGTTGATAATTTAAACACTGTGAAGATTGTAATAATGGTATCCAAGTGACAGAAAGATCGAGAATTTGTTATTCACCTTCTACATTATTGAGAATATTTGCCAATCAGCTCAAGCACCAGGCAAAAAGCCCCGGATTAATGCCAATATGAGTAAAAGAATTGTTCCCATTTTAAAATACCATCTTTCAAAATTAGTTTTGAGGCAACATTCCCAAACAACTACATGACATCCCAGATCTAGGCAAAAATTGGAATGTCTTTCTTCCTCCTACAAATACAGCTGAGTTTAGCAACTAATTAGCGGGTGACCAGATCAACTCTTGCAATTCAATCCTAATAACAGCCTATCAGGACACTGCTCTTGGAATATACAAGCATTAAAAACATAAATGCCAGTTAGGTTAGCAGATCAAATCACAAGAGCCAGAATCACAGGCACTTACCAAGAACATAACTACCACAGATTGATTCAACAAACAAAGCGTTAAGGACCAGGAACCAACAGAGTAAGACCTCATTGGAACAGTAGATTTTCCAGAGGCCCCCCCACTCATCCTTTAAATTAGATAAATCAAGTTCATTTCATTCTTCCACACTGGCTATAAAACTCTGATTCTTGAGAATCAGCGATGCTTCAAAAACCAAGCATGCCCTGCACAAAATGAAAAGTTTCAGTAACAAAGTCTAATCTAGATATATAGGTAGATATGCCCAGCAGGCATCGCGGTTATACTAAAATCAGATGTTCTTTTGGCCATAATAGAAAATATTAGCAGCATTGCTTACTGGATGTTTTTAAAAAAAGTCATTAAGAGATAAAATCAGATGTTCATTCACCACCTTTTGCCTTATTGGATTATGAAACAATAAATTCTCATGCATGGCTTATCAACTTGCTAAAAATTTATGGAGATTGGGAGATATCAGAGCGCATATGAATATCAGAGTGCATCATATGGTCATTATGAGTGACCTCACAAGAAGAAGCCCACTTCTACATCATCAATGACCCACAAGCATCAGCAGTTGTGACTTTCATCCATTCTAATGCTGCCAAATGATGACTGTTAAAGTATCCAATATCTCTTATTGATGTGTTTTACATGAGCCTTATACATATGCGCTCTCTGTCCACCTAATAGCTTAAAATTTTTGGTTAAAGTTTCTTACATGGCATCAAATCTACCGCTCATTTGGTTTTGTTTCATGTCTCTGCATCTAGTTTGTAAATCTCCGTGGTGGTTTATGTCAATAACATAGTCAGTACCTGAGAAAATATAGATGGTACTGCTCAACTGAGAAGCCATCTTCATCATCATTTCCAAATCAAGGATACAGGCTGTTGCAGTACTTCCTAGGTATTGAGGTAAGCATTCTCTGAACAAGGTCTTTCTATTTTCCTGCAAACTTACACAACGGATATTCTCCAGGAGACAGGCACGTTAGGGCGTGAACCAGTTGCTCCCCTAAATCCTAATGTGAAACTAGTACCAGAACAGAAAGAATTTATCCATAACCCCGGACAATTTCGCAGATTGGTTGGCAAATTGATTTATCTTACTATTACTCGCCCTGGTATTGCTTTTGCAATAAGTGTGGTCAGTCAATTTCTTAACTTGCTACGACAAAGTCATTGGAACGCAATCATTCGGATTCTTTGATATATGAAAGGTGCTCCAGGAAAAGGATTGTTATACTATGATCCTGGACACTGTCGTATCTTTGGTTACATAGGTGCAAATTGGGCAAGCTCTCCCTCATATAGATAGTCTACATCATGATATTGAGTCTTTATTGGAGGGAACTTTATCTCCTGGAAGAGTAAAATGCAGATACTTGTGGTAGCATCTAGTGCAGCGGTTGAGTATAGAGCTATGGCTGCAGGAACATGTAAACTAATGTGGCAAAAGCATCTTGTTGAGGAAGTGGGATTTGGATAGAAAGAATCACCACGTGGTTAATTTGTGACAATTAAACTGCATTAACTATAGCTTCTAATCTCATGTTTAACGAGAGAATTAAACACATTGAGGTTGACTGCCCTTTTACAATGGAGAAGTTACTATGTAGAGAAATAGGCAACAAGCTTTGTGAAATCTAATGATCAATTTGTTGATCTATTGCCAAGCCTCTCTCGGATCCTCAAGCCAAATATATGGTAACAAGCTTGACTATAAGACATATATGCTCCAACTTAAGGGGGAATGTTGAGAGTTCTTTGTAGTTGTCAACATAATGTTAAACCAAGTTTATAGAGGCATGCTTGTAAACACTATGTAATATTTCCTACATATGAAGACAAGGGGAGTACAAAACCCAAGTCTTTTGGTCTCAACTTTTGTCCTCTAACCTTAACATGTCAGCAGAGCTAGGTTCCACCCTAGTTTATTTATGTGTGTGGTTCATCAATTCCACGTGCCATTCTCAATTAGATTTGCATGTATAATGAGGTAATAAAGTATCTCACATCACTTATCTACAAGATTCATATAAGTCTTATATACAAGTGATCTCTCTCTACCTATTAACTTAAACTTTTAAATTGGATATTCTAACAACAGGAAGACAAATCTATAAGTATGCTTAAAAAAAGTCATCCATGTCACGAAGAATTGCAATAAAAGAATCGTTATATGAATGAACTCAACCAAGAGAAAAAAGTTCACCCACCATAAACTATTGCATGTGCTTCCCAAGAATTGGTTTCCATGTAGGTTGACTCTGACATACTTCTATTTGTCAATCATCCTACCAGGTGAAATCATCATTCTAAACATATTAGAATGGAGAAATCAGACAAAATTTAGGTAGATCAATAAAAAAAGTGAACTTATTTACCTTCCAATATTTATCCTGTTGCAGAGGGCAGTGTTGTGCAACAGTTTCCAATTATTCTTTTTACCCCCGATGCAAGAGTACTCCTTCCAGCTGCAAATCAACATGTGTTCAGGGTCGTCCATGATATGCAGTCATTTTTTCCCGTTCTTTAAAACGATGGATGAGGAAGGAAACGACATTGTTTCTGGTAACAGGAATGCCAGTAGCCTCCAGTCAAAATAATAATTTATTTCAATTTACGTCCCATCGAGTCCCTCAATCAACAATGTATATGTTTGAGGGTGCAGTTGGCAGCCTTTCCTCTCCATGACCTGCAGCAAATCTGAGCATCTCGTTACAAAACCCTTCTTAAGTAGCCCATCGACTAGAAGCTTCCAGGCTAGTTCATCATGATTGTACCCGCAAACTAAGAGACTACGAAAAAAATGTTCAGCCTCTTCATCATCCTCCTGATCATATAGGCCACATATAAGCAGCTTAGAAGACTCCAGACGGGGTAAATGACCATGCTCGATCATAGCCTCTGTCATCTTCTTTGCTTCTCTGTATTCTCCCTTCTCACAACAACAGCAAACAAGAGCATTGTAAGTTTTTTCATCAGGATTCATGCCTCTCTCTCTCATATGGTTGACTATTCCAACCGCTACTTTAAGGCGGCCCACTTTGCAAAGTCCTATAATGATCTTTACGTAAGTGTTGACATTAGGAGCACAACCATGTTCAAGCATTTTGTCGAAAAACTTCAGAACAGTTCCAAAATCCACAATCCTCCACACATCTGCTTTATCAATTGCTGAGATATTTGACGTCAAAACATTACTTCTGATCGCAAGGTTTTCCCCTTTCACCCGATTTTCATCTAAAAAATGCTGAAGCAAAAGAGCATATGTATGGTGAGAAGGCACACAACCAGAATCAAACATGCGTTTCAGAACATCAAACGATAGATGAAGTAATCCCAACCGCCCATATGCATCAATTAAATATGTGTAAGGAACTGAGTCTGGCTCAATCTTCTCTCTTCTCATCTTAGAAATCAAATTTTCTGCTTCATATAGTCTACATTGAGAGCAGTATGCGTAGATAAACGATGTGTAAGTAAAGAGATCAGGCTGATATCCCAAGGAAACCATCTCGTCTAAAAGCTTATCAGCATGGTCAAAGTCTCCTTCAGCAAGCATCCGCTTAATCAGAATCGTATAAGTATACACCATTGGCTTCAAGTCCAGATTCAGCATATTTTTCACCATCATCAATGCTTCTTGTGTTCTCTTCTCTTTGCATAATCCATCTATCAAAGCATTGTAAGTAAACGAATTTGGCTTGCAATCCTCCAAGAGCATCCTCTCAAGCAATCTACGGGCATCCACAAGTTGTCCAGATGCACAACAGCCATCAATTAATGATGTATATATCACTTCATTTGCTTTGATACCTTTCTCATGCAATGAATCCAATAAAGCAACAGCTTCTTTAATCCTCAACCTCTTACAAAGAGTATCCATAATAGGGCTATAACTCCACACATCAGGAGCTAAACCACTTTCTTCCATCATTTTAAGTAGCCTATGAGCATTATCCAGCTCCCCTAGTCTACATTGACCATGAATTAAAGAATTGTATGTGACGATAGATGGAGGGAGGTTGCGCTCAGTCATCTTATTAAACAATGCCATAGCCTGGTGCACATCCTTATTCTTGCAAAAGTAGTCTATCAATTCATTGTATGTACGAGTATCTGGACTACATTTTTTTGACTCCATCAAACCTAAAATATCAAATGCAGCACCTATTTTTCCTTCCTTACAATACCCGTTAATTAAAGCATTATAAGTGACAACGCTTGGGACTAGCCCCTTATCCGACAATTCATCCAACAATTTCCGGGCTTCACTGATCTTATTGTTCTTACAGAAACTATCAATGATGACAGTATAGGTATGAAGGTTAGGCTCACAACCTCTCTCAGGCATCTCCGTAAACAAATCCATTGCTTCTGATATTCTACCCAAATCACATAAACCACATATAAGAACTGTATATGTTCGAACAGAGGCACTGCAATTGTCTTGCCCCATCTGAGAAAATAACTTCAGAGCCTCATCCACCCGCCTAGCTTCACAGAGACCATGTAAAAGGATAGTGTATGAAACCTCATTTCTTGCACAACCCTTTTGCGGCATTTGCACAAAGATCTTATAGGCGCCATTCACATCCTTCTTCCGACAGTGACCCAATATCAGGGAGGTATATGTATATGTATCCGGGCTCAAACCCGCCTCCGAAATCTTTCTCACGTAAATCTCTGCCTCAACCAGATTCGCTAACTTACAGTACGCATTAACCATTGTATTGAAAGTGTAGATGTTCGGCAGAACGTTCAGGTCTAACATCTCTATGTACACATTTTTCATCTCGTCAATCATCAAAAACTTCGCTAATGCCATCAGTAGAGTATTATAGCATCTGACGGTAAGCTTAAATCTCAAATCACCTTCCCCGTTCATCCGGGACAAAAACTCCAACGCGAACCGCGCGTCATCCACCGAACCGCAGCATTTTATCATGGCGATCCGTAGCTTCTCAGCGACACCGAAAAACTTGTTCGGGATCAGAACGGCCAGCAAAGCCGAATAAGACCGTACATTGTGGCTGAAACCGGGCCTCTGCGAAATCCAATTGAAGAACCCGAGCGCCGTCATGGGGTCGAGATTGGAGGCCAAGACGGAGGAAACGTGAGACGGGGTTATCGAGGCGACCAGCCTCTTGAGCCAAGGGTTCCTCTGCCAATTCCGGGACGCAAGGATCGAGAGAAGCTGAGACGAGACATCCGACGGCTCGGGGTCGGCGGCGGCGCAAGCGGTGGAATGGGCGATGGAGGAGAGAGCTTTGGCAAGAGAAATGGGCGCGAAGGGGGCGGGATCGCAGGGGCCGAAAATGGCCGGCGTCATCCTCGCGGCGGAGCATCGGGCGGCGGCGGCGGCGGCGGCGGCGGCGGCGACCCCGCTCATTGAAGGGGGGAGGTCTAAGGTTTCGCGACGGCGGTGGCGCGCATGTGGAGATTCAGAGGGGTCGGATCGAGAGCGAGTTCGACGCCGCGTTGCAGAGAGGCTCCTACGACTGAGTTTTGAGAGGGAGGAAAAGCGGTGATGATCCGTCGCCAACTTGCAGCCGGAAATGTAGGACGACCCGACCGGTGGTGCTTTCGTATCATACCATCTCTATACATACGTTCTAATCCTGAGATTTACAAGATTAATGATATCGGTTCCCAATCCAGTTCGAATCGGGCCGAAGATCCCTAGAACCGGATCGGACCTTACTGACGGGGTCCAATCCAATGGAACTGGTCATTTTAAGAACTTCATTTTAATCGGCTTTATCAATAGTACCTTTGATTTCGATCGCCAAGCGAAAAAATTTCATACATATTAGCTGATCTTTAGAGCTTCATTGCCGGAAAAAAAGTAAAAAAAAAGAAAGAAAGCAAGCATGCATCAGGATTGGAAAAACCAATCAATATGATATATCTATATTATAGCTTTGGTTTTACAGAATTGATGATAGAAACAGTCGAGCTAATGGAAAGATCCTGTTCTACCAAGATGGGCACCATTTGAGGCAATTGAGCTAAACTCAAAGTTCAACACTGACGGCCCTTCGAAAAAAATCAAATAGAAAAAAACTCAATTGATTCTGTATTTTAGTAAAAAAAAAGATTTAAGCAAAGAACACGGAGTTTCACCGGAAATAGGCCGATTAGAGAAGAGAGGAGAAGGAAAGATTAAAGGAGGGGGCACGAGCGTCGTGAGCGAATTCGGAAAGACCGAAAGAGAAGAGTAGTAAAAGGAGGTGTGCGTGAGGGGTTTTAGTTTATTATATTTACATTTAAAAAATAAAATAAAAATAAAAAATCACAAAAGGAGTACCTAAACTTTTCTACATCGTGCAGTCAAGTATATGAACTGCAATTGAATTGTTCATGATCGACTCAATTTTGTCCTTTGTGCAAAAAAAAACAATCGACAATGTTAGTCACCGTGGCCTATTTTTGCAGTTAAAGTGGCCATTAGTTTGCGTGTGTGGATGCCAAATGCCAACGTATAATACCAAGTAAAGGTTATATATGCATCTACCTCTACCTCTTTTCTTCATTTTGCAAACAAACCTTAACTTTTGTCTCAAGAAACCTCTCTCGTGTCACCACCACCACCACCGTGGACATCGCGGCACCATCGTCCACTTTCTATAGTAGGTAAGGTAAGCCAGTCCAGTTGCTCTGTCAGTCTATGAGAGAGAACCGGCCTACGAAGCCAGCCAGCCAGCCAGCCAGCTAGCCTTCACACACTCCTGAATGCCAGCGTCGCCTTCCTTAGAGAGAGAGAGAGAGTGTTTCCGGTCCCTAGTCCAAGGAAGCAAGCCAAGCAGTCCAAGCGGTGACCCCGGCATTCACCACCACGGTCAAGTACCACCGATGCTACCTTAAATCCCAGTACAAGATATTTGATAAGTGTAAAATGAATTTATCAAAATAAAAGAGATCTATAATATTCGATTCATATGCAAAACGTTAAATATTTTTTCGCGTTGATCGTCAATTCATTAAAGTCCATGCTTGATAGCAAGCCAAGGAAGTCCATCTGCGTTCCTTGTTCTATCCCATTTACTGCTTTTGAGACGAAGGACTCTCTCTCTCTTATGAACGTGGTGGCGTAACGTGCATGGCTTCTTGGGTAGGGAAAAGAATGACCAGGAACCTCCACCTCTGCAGACCAATCACTTCTCCTTTCGTTTTCAGTCTGATCTCTCGTTCGGATGCCACCACCTTAACCTCGTCGAACCACCAAACCCACCCGAAACCTTCTCTCCATTGGGTAGTAGCTCACACAATCAATTGTTGTTCCACGTTTTGCAGCCCGAGCCAGGGGAGGACTCCACAGTCCTACTCCTCTCTCTTGGGTCGATGTGCAGAGACGAGATGCTTGCTAGACGTTCGGAAGGTTCAGACCCAGTTGGTAAAAACCGCTCTCTGTCCCACCCTTTTGGGCCACAAGCTGATCGACGCCTACCTGAAGTGCGGCAGCGTGGGCGATGCCCGCGGCCTGTTCGACGAAATGCCCGAGAGACACGTGATCACCTGGAATTCCATGATCGCTTCCTATATCAAGCAGAGAAGAAGCGAGGAAGCCATCGAGCTTTATGAGAGGATGATGAGCGAGGGAGTCTTTCCCGATGAGTACACGTTCTCCAGTGTCTTCAAGGCATTTTCGGACCTGGGTCTGGCGGCTGGTGGTCGGAGAGCTCATGGGCTCGCGGTGGTTTTGGGGCTGGAGGTTTCCAATGTGTTTGTTGGTAGCGCTCTTGTTGATATGTATGCGAAATTTGGTAAAATGAGTGATGCGCAGTTGGTGGCGGACCGCGTAACAGAGCAAGATGTGGTTTTGCTTACGGCATTGATTGTTGGTTACGTGCAACATGGGGAGGACTTCAAGGCTCGAGAAGTTTTCTCGGATATGATCAGGAAGGGGGTCAAGCCTAATGAATTCACTCTTGCAAGTACTTTAATTGGTTGTGCAAACTCAGCAGATCTAAAATCCGGTAAATTGATTCATGCGTGTATAGTCAAAACGGGCTTTGACCATGCAATTGCTTCGCAAACTTCACTCTTGACAATGTACTCAAAATGTGGGATTATTGATGACTCCTTCAAGGTTTTCAATGATTTAGCTAACCCAAACCTGGTGACATGGACATCTCTCATTGTAGGTCTCGTGCAAAATGGTAGGGAAGAGATTGCACTTTTGAAATTTCGGGAAATGTTGCAGAATTCTGTAAATCCTAATTCTTTCACATTATCAAGTGTTCTTCGAGCGTGTTCGAGCCTAGCTATGCTCGAAACAGGAAAACAAATCCATGCAGTTCTCACGAAACATGGATTAGTCAGAAATGCTTATGCTGGAGTGGCGCTTATTGACTTGTATGGAAAATGTGGAATGGCAGAAATGGCAAGGTCGGTCTTTGATCGGTTAATAGATATAGACATGGTGTCTATGAACTCCATGATATATAGCTACGCTGTTAATGGTCTGGGACGGGAAGCACTTGGATTGTATAATAGGATGAAAGATTTGAAGCTTGAGCAAAATCAAGTGACCTTTGTGGCTGTTCTTTTGGCATGCAGCAATGCAGGGTTGGTTGAAGAAGGTCGGCAGATCTTTTCATACCTACGAGACAGCTGTGAAACAGAATTGACAAGAGATCATTATGCATGCATGGTTGATTTACTGGGGAGATCGGGAAGACTTGAAGAGGCTGAAATGTTGGTGACACAGATAAATAATCCAGATCTTGTTGTGTGGAGGACACTGTTGAGTGCATGTAGGGTTCATGGAGATGTAAAAATAGCAGAGAGAGCTATGAAAAAAGTGCTTGAACTAGTACCAGGAGATGAAGGAACGCATGTGCTGCTATCAAATCTGTACGCCTCAACTTGCAATTGGAGTCAGCTTATTGAGATGAAAAGCACGATGAGGGAGATGAAACTGAAGAAGAACCCCGCAATGAGTTGGGTTGAAGTCGATAGAGAAGTTCATACTTTCATGGCTGGTGATTTATCTCACTTGGGATCGAAAGAGATACTTGATACGCTGGAAGAACTGATCGAGAAAGTTAGAAATCTTGGTTATGTCCCGGACACTAGATACGTGTTACAGGATTTGGATGAAGAGAAAAAGGAGACATCATTGTATTTCCACAGCGAGAAACTGGCCTTAGCTTTTGCTTTATCAAGGGCTAAAAATAAGATCAACAGTGTCAGGATTCTTAAGAATCTTAGAGTTTGTGGGGATTGTCACACTTGGATGAAATATGTCTCCGTTGCTGTTGGAAGAGAAATTATTGCAAGAGACTCAAAGAGATATCATCATATGAAGGATGGCCAGTGCTCTTGCAGAGATTATTGGTGAATCGGTTTTTGATTCTTGATATTAACATCTCCGCCAGCACTTGAGTGACTAATGAAGAAGGGTGCAGTTTTCTGATCTTCAGGGACAATTTGAATAAGGAAGTCCTCAAGAGAATTTTTGGTAGTTTTTATTTGAAAGCTCTAGAAAATTTATGGTGGAAATAGGAGCTTTGACCTCAACGCGAGAAGAAAAATGGAGTACAAGTTGCTCAGCCATAGTTCAGTGACGGAGAAAAGGCGTCTTAAAATTAAGATGCCGACAATTTTGTTGTCTAGAGGTCTTGAATAAAGCATCAGCAGAGTTGCGTGTATACATGTATGTTTAGATGCTCCATTCTTTGTCATCAAAATTGATCTCATATGTTCATATAAAACATTACGCGAATGTCGCTTGGTATATTTATAGTGATTTGGCTACTTCAATGACATATTCTTGATTTCATCGAATCAAGCTTGAGTGTGCTCTAGAATGGAAAGAGAGAACGATAGGATTATCAGTAATTTGATTGTTGTGAACCAGAGAAGAACACTCTTCATTCAAGAGGGGTTGTCTTCCAGGAAAGAGTAATGATGAATCAATTTTTAACGCCAACATTGCTGTTCCTATTTATCTGCTGCTTTTAGCCCTTGATCAAATGACTCGGTAACAAAAGTGGTTGTATGGAAAGCCAGAGATGTTCGAGTCTCTGTGCAGTCTTATCGCCCGCTCAAAAGATGCAATAATTTGCAGATTTAAGACTCGAGGAAATGTTGTTTCCACTAGGCCATAGGCTGTAAACCATTGGATTGTTTCAAATGATGACATGAGAGAAATTTAAGGCAAGGTTAAAGAAAAGTTCTTCATAAGATCTTCTGGCCAAGGTTCAAGGTCCGGGATCATGTTTATCTTTCATGATGAAGGGAAAGATATCAAATCTGTCTTTTTAAGGATAAGTTTAGATAATGAACTTATTTTGACCGTTGGCCAACTGGGATTTCACGTTCTATTTCGGAATTGAGAACTCAAAACTTTAAAAATACTTCAATCAGATCTCAAGCTCGCCCTCGGTGGAATTCAGGTGTTAGAACCCGACGTGCGGCTCCAAAGTGAAATGTTATAGACATTCGTCACGTATAATTTCCGAAGCCTGAATTCTAACTATGACGTGTACTCAAGACCCGATAGTAGCTTTTTTAAACATTAAGGTCTCAATTTGATCAAAATAAATCTTTTAAATCCTCAATTGACCAACGGCCAAACCTCATGTCATGCACTTGTTCCATCGTTTTATCAATGCATCCCCATTTAAGACCAACAATCTGAATTATCTTAAACGAGTCAATCAAGTTGCAAAATGGAAAATAAAATATATCGATTCTCAGCTAAAAACCATATTAGTACAAGTCGACTCTACCCAATCATATGAATCTTCTCAGATATAAAGTGAGTCAGACTTTAGAAATAACCAAGCCTTCATTTGAGAATATTTCAAAGAGAATTGTAGAAAACGTAATGTGCTTAGTTAACACAGTAGAGAGAGAGAGAGAGAGAGAGAGAGAGAGAGAGAGAGAGAGAGAGAGTAGTGTATTGCTAAATCAAGATGGCAATTGTAATTAAACCTATTAACATGTATGTATAATAATGACCACTAAAGTGTATTTCCCAGTACACTATTAATTTTTCACAACTCAATAACTAAAAAGTGCATCACCCAAGCCAGCAAACAGGCTAGAAAGTAGAGGACAGATGAGGGCAGATATCAGGATCAAATTTCTTCAAGCATCTAAAAGAATGTACCTCCAAACAAATCGATGACAATCAACAAGTATCCTACAATTGATTTTCCTTTTCCATGAACTTGAAAAGCGAAAGATGAGCACAGGGGACTAGATCAAGTCGATACTATAGTGAACCAAAGAATTTTCAATTACCCAGTATTTGTTCAGTGATTGCTCCACCGGAGCAATGGAAGAAGGTGAGAATCATAAGGTGAAAATTTACACGCTTTGTAGTTAATATCCGTCATACTCTGGACGAAAGGTAGTCAAAACAACCATTACCATTTCAGTATTTGATGACATGGTGGCGCAACCAGAGCTCATACATGACCATGTGGAAAGCATCATATCTTAATGGTGGTGAATTCCACTGGAAGTGCTTCTGGACCTAGAAGAACAGGCCATAGAATCTTGGCATCAGCGACAGTCATCAATTGAAGGACTGTAGTCTACCAAATTTTGATTAAGAGGCATCTGATTTGTTTCAGAAGATGCAAGATAGCAAGTGATGCAGTGAGTGCATTGCATGGCCATCAACAAATTGCAACAAACTGCCTCCTTCAAAGGAATTAAATGCTCTGGTGCTTGCATTGTTTTGAAGGTTACCCAAGATTAACTCTGACATGTGGAGATAAAGGCTAATATTCACTAAAGAGAGGTTAAAATGCTCTCAGATTACCAAACTAACCACAAATATCAATCAGCAAGCAAAAATTGACTCGTTTCTTCTCCTTTTTTTAGACAACATTGAAACCTCGCTCCTACAACATCGGGTCCAATTAACAATATAAACTGCATATTCTTATGTATCCTTATGGATCCTCAAATGGCATAACTCTGATTTATGACCAGATGCAAATAACTCACAATCAAGTCTTATCGTGTCCACTGCACCAATGAGTCCAAACAATAACACCACCTTAAACATATACTATCTTTTTCCAAAATCATTTTTCGTGTCTAAAATAATCAAGTCAGGGCTCTGATTTCAATGGAGATGACAGAAAGTGGGGAATACATCTCAAAGCTATGATAGGGCATCAGAAAAGTTTAGCACTCTCATTACCACCGCTTTCTCCTACTCATCCATATCTTTTCACAGTATAACCTCAGACTAAAGGATCTCATCTAGATTTTAAGAATCAAGGTACAAAGAAGTCTTATGTTAACAAAAGGTAGTTTTTGGGTGGACCACATGTACAGGTTGAGCCTACATGAAATTAAGTGGCCCATCTCCCTGAAGTTCTCACATAGGATACACCTCAATACACTAATTAAATAGTAAATCTTCAGAAATCCCAGTATTTACATCATCGAATTAGACAATACTGACTACTACAACACCCAATAGAGAACACATGAACAGCATGCTCTGAATGTGCAATAGAAGTCATACCTTTACTAAATTCTCGTGCAGTTGCAGAAACTCAGCATCAGATATATTCTTCAGTATTTGCTTAAGATTATACACTTCACTCTCCTTGAGTATGACCGAAAATTTTCTCCAGTCAAGAATGTCATTGAACGGCAGATCATAGTAATTGGACAAAATGACTGCAAATGAAGTATGCAGATAAGTAACGAAATTACAAGAGTTTCTTCGTTTCACTGAATTTCCCTCAAAGTCAAGGCATCAGTCACACAATTATTGCGCTTTTACATCCATATCAAATGTCATTTTCTAGTGCACTAAAGTATTGCCAACATAGATATCAAAGGTAGTTTGATAAATAGATCAAGTGACAATCCCATGATATATGTGCCAAGAACCAAAAAGGAGTAATCAAGTGGAGTACATCTCCACTTAAGCATCACTTCTAGCCTCTCTTCCACTACATATGAGATGTATAGGTGCTATAGATACACCACCTCATTGCCGCCATCCTCAGCTCACAAGCGAATGCATCATGTGACATCACAAAGTAGACAAGTTGATAGTGATTGAAGTTATTCATTATCAAGTTGAGCAAAGATTGACCTTTGCCAAGACCAACAACTCAGATAAGAAAAGAATTCTTCTCTTGGTTGAATGAATTGTCCTATCTATAGGGTTTGAGTTCCAAATAAGACACAAATGATTTTCCTCTTGCTAAATTTGAAGTAGATGTCATGCTTCACCTTTCTATCTCAACTAGTACGAGGATTCTGTAGTTTAGCAGTACATGCTCTCCCATGAAAGGAGATAGTTCATTTAAGTTATTTTTTTAGAAATCGTTCGATATTCAACTGCGTGATAAACTTCTTTTTTAATGTGCAATGCTTAAGAAACTGGATGTGTGATTGAGTACAATGCTTAAAGGAACTTACTTGTTTTGTGTTATTGCTCGCTACAGATTCCTTTTAAATTTCAATCCATGATTTGGGACTCATCATCCATAATAATGTAACCAAATTGTTGATATATTAAAGAATACAGGTCTTTTAGTGAAGTCCTATATAGCTGAAAAGAAAGCAAACTTGTAAGAAGTACAGGAACAAGAAAAACGAGGTAAACATGAACTTTTCACAACTTATTACAGATAATTTATCCAATTTACCTATTCACTATCCATTCCAATACTCTAATGGAAAGATATTCGATGATGGCGTTGATTGCGGATTTTTTATCAACTAAACACACGGAGTTCCTTCAAGAGAGTTACTTGATCAATCTGAATCAATGGATCCAAAAATTACTAGAACAACACTAGAATCTTCGTCGAGTAAATACTCTTCAAGGTGTTCCATGTGTTTAGCTGATAAAAAAATCCACCAGCAATGCCATTACCATATACTCTTCCCATATGATACCAAAATAGACAGCTCTAAATAGTGCATAAATGCGCTAATGAGATACATTTAATTACCTTAAAAAGTTATTACATATTCCTACACAATTTTAACCTTTTGTCCTTCCTCTGCTTTCACACAAATTAGGTAGCAAGAATGCACAGATATAACCAATGTAGTCAAACTCACTTTTTCATCTAGGATCGTCATAAAATCTGTTCAGTAGATTGAATCGTAAAATCATAAGATTCTGGATTGTTTGAAGATAACTCCAAAGAGATTATGACCTTCAAAGAAATTAATACAAAGGTCTGGACTAATACAGCCAGGCTACTATAACTTAAAATCAACAAAAACAAGGTTATTAAGTCATTTCTTATTAATAAAACAGATTTGATTACAGATTCTCAACTGATAAATCATAGTTTCAATCTGCCAAATACCAAAAGATTGTAATTAGATAACAATTTAAATTGACTATAAACACATTATATGAAGTTCTTAACTATTATTCAATTTACACAGGACAATAACCAAAATAACTGGCCCTATAGAACCATTACATTTCAATTCACAATACTAATAGAGGAAGGGAACTTCTTAAAATCTTGGGAACAATAACAAAAGAAATATTTCGGACCAATTTTTTTACGTCGAATCCACTTGATGGATGCTTTCCTGTCATATACAAGGTTTCAGAGAAGTAATATCTTTTGAATCTTCATATTCCTATGTTTTTCATTTTCTTTTCAGGAATACTGATATTTATGTTGTTCTGTGCCTAATCTATTCCCATTTAATGTTGATCCAAGGTTTATTATATCCGTCTTGTTTACTTTTTCCTAATCTTATTCTCCCTGCTGTTCGTATTATAGGCTTCCTTAAAGACCAAGTTACCATGAAGTTTGCGATCCAGCAACCATCTGAAACGCAATTCCAAGCGACTTCACGTGTCAAATTGATCCTATAACGATTTCACCTTACAAACGTACTTGCCGCGCGTTGACGCAATCCTCTAATTTGGGCTCGCAAAATCGTACGTTTCTACGAGCCGACATGCATTATTTACTACATTGGTTATAACTTGACTTATTTGCTTCTAACAAATAGAAAAAGAAAACCACGGATTAGTTATGGCCCTATTTGAAATCATCTTGAGCTATTGACTGCTCAATAAAGCACCTTGCAAGCACAGAGGCCAACAAATATGGTACTATTGGTGATTGGGCTAATTTTGATAGCATTTGGCTATCAAAGGATCCAACCTTCTACTCAAACATTATGCTGATCAATTCAAGTATCAGCACCACATAGGTGCCGTCAATGACATATTAAACCAAATCTCATTTCAGTATGATACCACTTTTACGATGGCCACACTCATCATAGGTTCAGCTTTAATAGTTTTCCCAATAGGAAAGAGGCAAATTGGAGTATCAACAGGAAGTCCACTTATAGTCGTATTTCCAGAATTAGTTGCAGTGGTCAGCAAGAGGAACATGGATCCTCCATCAGAGTCTTTTGAATTGTAAAAAGTTTCTCCACAGAAAACAATAAGCTAAGATGAAAAACACAGCATCAAAAGCTATTAAAATGACACTCACCAGGAATACATCCATAATGGATGGCATCAGTTATTCGGGCACTGTTGACCTGGGAACCACCTGGACATATGCAGAACTTAGTCCGGTAAAATCTCTTTTGATACACCAGATGTCCAGTCGCCCTACTTATTCTGTTATTTGAAATATCAAGTTCAGTGTCATTCTCCCAGACCCGTGCCAGTATAACTCTGATTTTGGAGTTGCGATGACCAGCCCAGAAACCAAGTCTTGTCCTGCAAAGAAAGTTCCCTTTTCACAATGACAGCTTTTGCTCACATTATCACAAAGTTTTATCAGGCTGAAATAAAGACAGTCATATGAAATGCAGGATACAATTAACTTGCATAAAATAAAATGTCAATCAGACACCCATAGGTCCTATTTAATGAGAAAGAAAAAAGGTTTGGAGGACAAAATAATGATAAAAGACCTCACCATCAGACGAAGAATTCGCTAAAGTAATTCTAGCCAAATTAATTGATTTACAAAATAATGTTGGCTTAAACTCAACAGTTAAGTGAAAAATCTGCTAAGGATCAGATAAACACAATGCTTGATGAGATGCCCATAACTGTTGGGTTTAAAAATCCCATGTGGCATGCGATTAGGAAGTGCACTGGATTATTCCTTCATTCACCAAAACAAAAAAACCTTCTGACATCTACGGAATGTACAGAGTTCATAGATTTCCTATATATAACCCCGGAACCTGCAGGAGGCAGATGATTCCAAGCTACTGAGACAAAGTAAGATTGCCATAACTGAGATAGTGGATATTTTATCTTGATAGACTGCAGACATTAATCTAGCAATGAGGACTCTTTTGTTGATTTGAAAGTACATGGGGCTATCTGCCAAAAACAAAGTATAGGGGACCACTCCAAAATGACAAAAGTTAAAGCACAATTTACCCTTGATGAAACTAGACAAGATAGAAGTGAAGCTACCATAAACAGTTCACAACAAATGAACCAATCCAAATGTGTAATATCATATTGCCACAAATCATAAAAGTCAGAAAATAGCAACAAGTGACACGTAGCCTAATATGTACCATAATTCTCTCTTCTATGCACTATATTTACCTATTCTCCACATCATTTCCTCCAGCGGGAAGAGCGAACGGTTGTAGAACTTGGGGAAGTGCAACGTCCTTGTGTGGAATGAACCCAACATCATAGCTTGGAGAGCAAACCACTCTAATTGAATTCTTTACAAGAAGAGGAACTCCTTCCGTCGCCCTCACACCAACATCATGGCAAGTCACAAAGAAGTGATCTGCTCCCAGGGTTCTATTCCAGTATGGATACTTCGCAATAAGACTATCCACATAGTTCTGGACTATTATGGTCATATTCTCATAAGATGTTCCCTGCATACGGTCATAAAAGATACCACACCCAAGAGAAAACGTCATCAACTAGAATAAGATTGAAGTATTGATATGGATAAGCTTCATGATTAAGAAACGTCTAATCAAAAGATAGATGAAAAACGAATATAATGCAAAGAAACATTTGGAAATAAGCCTTGCCAATATAGGAACACGAAATGAAAAGGCTTGAAAATAATCTATAAAACAATCAGATGCTTGAAAGAAGTTTCAAGTCACACCATGCATATTATTGCTAAAACATCAGCTAGATAAAGAAATCCAGAGTTCCAGCATGAGGAACGAAACCATGAGATTACTGCGAGATGTAAAAGCATGAAAGGAAATTATAGTAAAATCTTTCCGTGAAATGAAAAACAAAACATCCACAACCTCCAAAGTCCAGAGTCAGAAATTCTCAACACGTCTCTAAACTGCACGGATAAGATCAAACTAAACATAACCGACTCCAAGCAGTTAATGTTACAACGTGATTTGAGCTTTCTAAGTTCGGAAAACATGGCAAAGCATCATCCAGATGCATGCCTTGGGTTAAGAGTTCACAACAGAGATACCCAAACTCCACGCCACAGATACAACATCTGATATGATATTGTACACACAACAATCGACAGTTACATAAAGGTTGGCATCTGTAGTGTGCCAACAGATATTCTCGAAGAACTACCAATAGGCAGAAATTACTACATGTTGGTACATGTTGTGACTAATCACATCAGGCTTTGTATGGACGGAAAGTATCTGAATACAAAGTAAATCTACTTCCCTACTTAGTTGCAGAACCCGCAGAACCCGAACCCCATCAAAACTTCAAACTTCTGGAAACCAAAAGCTAAGACAGAACATTTGTTCACTAAGCTTGGCAGAATCACCTTCCATTGCAAACGACCTCCGGACAGGAACAATCCCATCGAGATGAAACGAACCCCAATCAAGAAAGAAGCAAAAACGGATGGAATCGTACCTTCCCTCGCATCTTGTGGCACGAAATCGGAATGAAAAACAAGTGCGCCCCGTCCGGATCGTCCGTCCTGAACCTACCCTCCCTAATGTTCTGGAAGAAATAGCCCTCGCTCGCGTACTTGCCGGTGAGCTTCCTCGGCGTCTGGTAGAACGTGTTGGGATCCCCGTCCGGGTATACGAACACCCTGAAGTCCCTCTCCATCGCCGCGTAGTTCAACCGGAAGACGTCGGGCAAGTGGTAGACATCGGACAAATCCTCGTCGCCTCCCTCGCCCCCGCCCCCGTCCTCGCCCTCCCCCTCCCCCTCGCCGTCGTCGTCGCCGCCGCCGACGATCAACAGCTCCTGGTGGCCGAAGGACGAGCTCAGCTTCACGGGGGTGACTGGGGAGGAGTGGAGGGACTTGAGGGAGACGAGGGTGAAGGAGATGAGGGTCAGGAGGGCGAGGGTGAGGAGGGATCCGCGGAGGGTGACCAGGGACGTCGGCGAGGGCGATTGCGGTGGCGGTTGCAGCAGCTTCCCCGCCGCCGACATCGCCGGTCGGAGCTTCCGGGGATCGATCGGAGGGTTCGAAGCTCCGGCGAGGTCCGGTAGGAGATGATCGTGCGGGAGGATGTGGACGGCGATCGATTTTGGGATTTGGGATGGGTGCTGGGCAGGGCTCGGCACGCTCCCGGTGGAGTGAAACCGGGAGAAAGGAGAAGTGACGTGGTTGAAGTTATCTTCACTGTTTGAGGATGGCGACGGTAACAGAAATGATCGGTTTTGGAGCGGGTCAGTTTCCGGTCGGGTCGAGGATTCTCGGTGTTGAATCGGGAATCGACCTTGTGACTCCTGATCCCGATCAATTCTAGACCCACGGCTCAAGAGCCGGATCCTATTATGCTCAAGAATTCAATTGTTTTTACCTTCTATTTTGTGTAAAACAATTGAATTCTTATGCTAAAATATAATGGACAATGACACAAATTGTTCTTGAACTTCGAATTAATGTGCGATGTTGTCTCTGGACTTTTAATTTGTTCAATGTGATTCCTGGACTTTTTATATGTGTTCAACATAATCCCGGAAGTATATGAAAATGTTTAATATTGTCATTCCATTAATTCAAGTTCGGGGACAATATTGAACATATTCAACTTAGTTCCTGAAGTATATGAAAATGCTCAATATGATCTCTCAACTGTAGTTCAATATGCAATGTGATCCCTGAACTTTTAAGTTGTTCAATGTGGTCCCTAAACTTTTAGTACGTGTTCAGCTTTTTTAGTATCATTGGAGATTTAGTTGAAGGCTTGAAAAAAAATTCAATCATTCACAATCACTTATAAAGGGATTCCTCAAGACATTAAGAATTAGTAATCCTTTTTAGAAATCAAATGGATTCAATCTTATATATAGGAGGATGAACTTTCCAAGCTTACTTGGGTTAGCCATACAGCTACAAGTGATTGACATGTTACCATCAATTGATACAAGAGTCCTTTTACTTTGTTTGCTTCTACTGGCGAAAAATTCAGTGAGTTATACTAGCAAAACAAAATAAAAGATTTCTAGTTTTTTTCTATTTTATCAACAATCAAGTCACAAGTATTTAAGATATTCATACCTAAGCCACTATTGCGACCAAGATGCAAGGGATAAACTTTTCTTAACATTTCCGGAAAAGACCACTTATCATCATTTACATTCTGAAAGCCGTATGCTTTGGAAAAAACTTGTACAATTTGGGAGGGAACTATGACTAAAAAAGAAGAATCCACTTCAAACCATAAGCCTAAAGTTTGAAGTTGTTAACATTCTAAACTCTTGAGTAAACGTAAGAGATGCTGTGATGAAGAAAAATCATCCGGCGGATAGATATCTACATACAAGCACCAGTTCATGACGTCAACTATCATAATTAGGGATGTCAATGGGTCGGTTGGGCCGGTTTTTGCACTTGACCCAACCGGAAACAAATGGCTCGAGGTAGAACTTCAGCCAAACCAAACACTAACTGTCATTACCTGACTCGAGATCAACTGTTCAGCTCACTTAGGTTCGGACATTCCGGTCTGCAATTCATGGCTAAAAAACTCTGCAAATTTCCATGGTCTAGATTGCAATGGTGAGGGGCCACTCCAAGCTGACTCACTCACAGCCAACTCATCGTCGGCGATCCACTAGTTGATCTTCTCCTCCGTTACAGTCAGTGTCAATCTCTTCAATGACGATGACTCAATGCCGAAGGGGCTGGAGCTGGACCTGAGATTCAGTGAAGTGAAAGTGGAACTGGTGAGCTCTGCAGCATACTCTTAAGTTACACGAGTCGAGGTACTCAAGGCCGAAGCTGACCCACTCAAGATTGAGTCATCATCATCATCGTTGTTGGCGCACTCGTCGATCTCCTTCTCCATTACCGCCAGTGTTGATCTTGATGATTTAATGAACAAGGAAATATTGAGATCCCCTGAAGCGATGCTGCTGAGCTGAGTTTCTTTTTATTGGCATATGGCTGGATGGAGAATTGTTGTTGATCTGGAGGTAGCTGCAGATTTCAGTCTTTCTTCTTCTTTACTCCTATTTCCTGTGTTATGAGTAACAGGTCAGTTCAGGTCCTTATCCGAAACCCGAACCAAACCTGTTTGATGTTTTCTTGTTTTTGATATATAAAAAAGGAACACAACCTAATCCATATCCGACCCAAACCATGAAATATGGTTCGGATCAGGTTTTCAAGCCCTCCAAACTCTTTCAACAGTCCTAATAAAAGCCATCATAATGATTCACTCCATGCACACATATATTATGCCTCTCGCACTTGCCATCCTAATGATTCACTATATATTGTCAATTTCAATTATCTATTTCCATTAGGAAAATGTGGAAGGAGCAACATAAACCTGAGGTTGGAGCATATACAAAAAAATTCCGCCAGCAACTGAAACATTCAGAGACTCGAATTTTCCTGCCATCGGGATACTCACTAACTCGCACAGAGACTCAGATTCCTCAGAGAGGCCTCTTCCTTCGCTACCCAAAACCAAGCATACAGGCACCTTGGCTAATGAATTAACAAAACTCGGAGATAAATTCGACACCAGTTTTTGTCCCGCGTTGCTCTCAGGGTGACCAGCCAGTAACTTCATCTGAAATTCATTTAGAAGGGTTTTGAGATTGCTCCACCTTCCTAATACCAGAGAGAGCTGGAATGAGGCTCCTCGGCTCGCTCGAAGGGCCTTATCATTGAAAGGGTCACAACAGCCAGGAAGCAGAAAAACACCATCCTGTCGCATAAGCCACATACTGCTTCAGAGATCACCCAAATAACTGATGCAGAAGTATGAGAATTTTCTCAGATGGCACTTAGCAAACCAACACTCTCTGTAGGAGCTGGCGTAACAAAATTTCTTACACTTTCCAAAACGTCCTAATAAATTCACATAGCAGAGGCCAAACCTACATTTGTAACAGAAGCTATATAGAAGAACACACATTTCGTAATCCTCAAGTTTGTCTGAGTTACCAGCTTTTGGTAGTCAAATGAACATCAATTTAATATATCAGTTAATAACTCAAGAAAGGTGGTCTTCTGGGTACCAAAATTTCTGTGTGGCAGTTCAACCGTGCACATGAAACATAACAAACTGCTCTTATGTCATTGCAATCGCAAGAATATGAAACATTGGAAGAGCAAGAAGAGCAAAGAGCCATTAAAAAAACATATTTAGAACAGTGCTGTTGTTTTCATTACCCAATTAAATGCAGCAGCTGATCTTAGTAATGTTCCGAGGTTGCCTGGGTCCTGCAGCAAACAGTTGATAGAAGTTAGGCCATACCCACAATATTCATGAATCATGAGAACCATATATATCAACCATTATCTTGAGATTAAACAGTGCACTCAGACTGCATAATCAATTTCATACAACTGTCACAAAAGTTCCCACAATGAACAAAAAGTTGAGAGGTTCATGTTTGAACGAGATATGTTGTTAAGCACATATGAACAAAACTTGTCGCATTTTCTCTTCCTAAGTAGGAGTTATATCCATATAGAAAAACAAAAAACCATAGCTAGGATAATTGACATCCAGCAACCGCAAGGATATTCATTTTAACATTATGCCGTTGTGGGAAAATAAATAGGAGAGTTGTTTTGAATAAGTTCCTCGAGAAAATGGATGGAACAAAAAAGAATAAGATGAATTGTCATGTGACCAGAGACATTAAGTATTTTCACATGATTGGTAGACCTACGCATAGAACTTAACCGACTACAAAAAGTTGCTCCTTTACCCAACATGCCATTATGTAAATAACTGAATTGCGAGTTTGTAAACACTTTAATTTCATTTGAACTGTAAAAGAAACTAAAAAAATTCACCTGGATCCCATCAAGCACAAGAATTCGATGAGGAGAGGCAAACCATCTCCGACAATCTCTGTCATCGGCCTTGTCGTTGACATTGTAGAAAGTGGAAGGTATTCTCATCAGAGCGACAGCTTCGATAGATTCAGCTGATTCGACCCCAGAAAGTTTTTCCATAACCAATGAACTTACACGCACCAGGCGGACTGAATGTTCTTCCAGATCATCAGGAATCTGAGCTTTATCAAGAAGTAGTAAGCAATCAATTATGGCAGTTGTGCTCCTCAACGACTGAAAATTACAGATCTCCCTGCATAAGAATAATATGCCGAAAGTATAAACACGTGCACCGCATTCTCAACCCACAGTTCCTCAATAATAAAGTAAAGACAACTGCTCTATTACTGACTGGAGCTACTTCATTCCAATATGGTGTGGACGAAAGAAAGACATGCCAAAGCACATATATCATAAAATTAAAAGACATATGCTCACTAATTTCATATGCTTATGCTTGCACTACCGGAAAAAGTCCTTCAGTATCAATCAACAACGTCACTAAACTAATACATCTTCCATCTTTCTTTTGAAATGCAGTACTTCATTCATTCGGAAAATTTATGCAACTCCCGAGTTTGGTTTGGATGTTGCGAGGTCAACTACATGGGCATTTCAGTAACCTGTTCGACGAAATTCCCAAGAAGAACAGGGGACCGCGAAATTCATTGAGAACCCTGATATGTCATCCCATGCTCCTCAATGTGCCAAAATTAGTACGGAGCTGTACTGCCTCCCACCCTAGCTACTGCAGAAATGACGAAACGATTTGAAGAGCGAAGAAGAACGATCAAGATTCAAGCTTTACCTGATCGGGGTCGTGCCCACGACAAGAGCCGAGCCGTGGGAGTGGCGATAGGAGGAGCTCTGGCGGAGCTTGACGCAGTGCTTCACGAGCGGGTTCGACGTGCTCGTGACGAGCTCGACGTTTCTGGGCACCAGAGGTTTCGCCGCCGCAGGAGTTCCCTTCTGTCCGACACGACCCCGGACGGCCATTCGGAGATGGGTGGTTTCTTGACGGGCTGGCGGTGGTGGTTTGGCTCTTGAAATTGGAACTGGGTCGAGAGGAAAACGAAGGCTCGAAGGATGGAAGGCGTGGAAGCAACTCATGTCCTTTCTTTTCGGCCTGTCTGCTTTCCCTCTCTCGCTGCAACTGCAAGGAGATTGAAAGATTGGGCGGCCGACCTCCGGAACGTGCCCGACTGAGGTTCGGGTACAGGCTTATATGCTCCTTGGGTCATGCGACTCATTCCATGGGCCTTTTTTACCGACTAATACATTGTGCGTGGGAAAATGATACAAATAATCTTTGAATTTTGGCCCAATGTATTTGTGGTATCAAAACTTTTGATACATTTTTAATTACCATTCCTACGAACCAGTTATATCATCTATTCTACATTACTCACTTTTTATCCCGACGACGCGACTAAGCTTCACTTACAAGAATACATGAGTATAGGAAAACCCCTGCGTCACTCCGGTCTCCCACTCAATTCCATACGAGCTGTTATGTCCCTTCCCTATGTCGCTTTGGTACCATCAACGCCGCTTGGTCAGGTCTTACATGAATGATGGACACTCGCCAAACAGAACAGGCCATTGCACTCCATTGGTGGCTTCCCCTGATCAAAGCTGTTCGGGCATCTTCGACCAGTTGTGTTTTCCTTGGCAAGTGTAGCATTCGAAGCCTATTGCGCTTTCAGCAACACCCTCTTTCGCCTACTAAGCTTCTCTTAATCTCAGTCGACCAATGGAGATCTCTCTCCTTGTTGAAAACATGGTAGTAGACCCATCTTGAAATTCACCCATTGATCCAGGAACGTTTTCCCTATTTAGTGAGCAATTTGGTTCCTACTTATGCCCCAATTGCCATCCTAGAAGCAAGATGAGAGCCGCACTTTGTTCAAGCCCCTTTTTGCTCCGGCGATTTACTCTCCGACCTCATAGGAACGGGTAGACCATAGGCTTTTCACCGAATCATCTACCATACTGGAGAAATCCTGCTCTGATACCATTTGTCATGGGCGCTTGCTCAGCCAATGATACTAGGCTAGCTTTCATTCTATAGTCGTTCCGAAGAACAAAACAGATAATAACATCATCGTATCGAATCATACCACATCCAGTTTAGCTCAGGTATCCATCCTCTTGAGTGAGACATACAAAACAATATAGCATAGAAGCTGGTCGATCTGCTATGGCCTTATCCAGAGAGCAGCATCAGCTCTTAACAAATTTGTGCACAAGTGGCCAGCCCCGCCTCCAAAGTTCCTAGAATTATAATCGTTCAATCTTAGAATTCCTAGTACAAACATCCCGATGCCACTCCTATGAAAGAAGCGTATCATTATCCCTTCTGCATCACTCGCTCTTCACCCCGACGCTAATAAGTCCACTCACAAGGTTATGTGAGTACGGGAGGATCTCTGCATCGCTCCGGTCCGTGACACATTTATGTTCCTCGGATATAAGCCATTGAGAATTTGAGTTAATATGCGTCTTCTCTAAATGACTGGCGAGAACATTGTTGTTGAGGGAATTATCTTAGTTGGAACGACTGTAATGACAACGCGTCTAGGCTTCTTGTTCGTTGCGCGCACAATCTGTTTGATGAAATTCCCTAATGGCATTAGTGAACTTCTGAGTCTAAATCCGATTCACAAGTCTTGTCATACTTCCTTTCCAAATAAACCTGGCTGGAGTTCAGCTCCCTTTTGATCAGGATATGTCCAGTAGTTTTCCATTGTTGAAGTTTATTGTCGTTGGCCACAATTTAGTATTGTGACTGAGACTTGTGTTATGTTGATTTAACTTGCAATCAACCTGTTGAAGCCTCATTGTAACAAGTCCTGCTTGGGTTGATTTACGGTTTACGATCCATGTGGTTTGTCGTTTGAGTGAAATTGATCATGCTGTTGTTTGAGTGAAATTGCCATGGCCATGGCAATCAACCTATTGTACTTTTCAATGCCGTGTAATGTGATTCCAATACGAGAATAGTGTATTGAACATGTAGTGGAAGGACGTATGATCGGTCGGACTTTACCTATATCGTCAAGAAAACTGCCGTCCTAGATGGTTTAGACGATGGTACTTCGGCCCATGGTTATAATTACTACATCGAATATGAGAATTGCCTGGCCATGGAGTATGCAATGGAGCATTGACTGATCCCAATTGTGACATGTGCATAGGGAAAGCTATAGCTCTCAACTATGAAGAATGCGGTCGGAGTCGTGGTGCTCAAGTTCAGCTTTCAGATTGTAGAATTAGATTCAAAGATTCGAAGATTACTCGTTTTCTGAATAGTTAAGCTTCTCCATCTACTACAATTAGCACGATTTTGAATAATCTACTTTGTGTTTTAGTTGCACGTAGATTACGTTGAGTTGTTTTCTAGAGAAAAAAACTTGTTGTACAAGTGATTATGAAAAGGCCTACCTAATAAAATGTCTACTTAAATTCAATTAAATTGCGAAAACCTTGTTATTCGTTAGCTTATGCAAATTTCAGATTAGCGTATCGTACCTTTATTTCGAATAGTTGGAAGAAATTATGTTATAAAGAGATTCATTTTCAAAAGCTTTTGTTCTTCACTTGATATAAAGTCTTGCTGAAAAGAGACTTACCGGATGCCCAATGAGAAGTTTATATTTTTGAAATGCGAAAATCTGCCAAATTTGCATATGGACCCTTGTGTTGAGGTTGATGTCTTGTATTCTGTTATCCAAGATCCTTATGAGGTGGTTCCGAAAGGCCCCTGACAACTGGACAGCACGGGGGTCCCGCTCCCTGGTGAGCGGGCGGGGGTCCGGGGGGGCCGCCTCGGCGGGGGTCGCTGCCCCCTGGGTTGCCAGAGGCGTTTTATGTTCAGTCATAGAAGGATTTATATGGGAAAGCTAAATATTTTAGGCTATGTGGGTAACTTTGTAATTTGTGCCATGTAGGATTTCGCTATATATATTTAGGGCGAAACAGGTCTCTAAAGAGAGGCAGGAGGTGAGAAAGAGTGGCTGTACACTTTTCTACGTTATTAGTGAAATGGATCTCTTCTCCTCGTGGACGTAGGTAGGCGGAACATCTCCCCTGCTGAACCACGTAAATTCTTGTGTTGTGTGAATTTCCATTACTTTCTTGCATCGTTGATAGAATCGAATTTAGATATTCAGCAGTACCTAAAAAGGCTAAATTTTCTTCCAACCATATTTTTTATGGTGATTACAAACTATGGATACCGTGCATATATGCCAACTTAGTTAAAAATAAACAGGATGATGTTCATGCTTGTAACCTACCAATCTGAAGTGTGGATGAATAATCACACTCTTGAGAGAACAATGATTCTAAATTAGATGTAGTTAGAGGCTATTTAGTAACCGGCCAAATAGTATTTAATTCTATTATTTTGTTCTCCGAGAAGAAAAAAAGAACAGAAATTCGTTTGGTAAATTTTTTATATCCGGGAACAAATTTGTTCCTGCAAACTGTTTTGGAACAGAATCAAGAATTAAAAAAAAATTGCTTCTTGTTTCCAAGAACAAAAAAAAAGAATCAAAACAAAAACATTTTTTTTTCTTCTCCTTCCTTGGCCTATGGCTAGTCTCCGGCCATGGCCGGCGAGGGCGTCGCGACCCTCGCTAGTGAGGGTGAGGCCCGCGAGGGTCGCCCTCACCCAGGCTACGAGCAGCGAGGGTGGCTCTCGCCCGCTTGGGCGAGGTCCCTCACGGCTCACAGCCTAGGCGAGGGTCCAGCCTCGCCCTCATCGGCGAGGGGGACCCTCGCCTGTGGCCCTCGCCGACCCTAGCCTGTGGCTAGAGGCCAAGAAAGGAGAAGAGAAAAAAAAGAAAAGAAAGAAATATTAAAAAATTCAAAATATTATTAAAAATTTTGGGCAGTTACCAAATACATTTCTGTTATTTTCTATTTAAGGAATAGAAATTTTGGGCAATTGCCAAATGCCTTTAAATACTCAGAAATTATTTCCAAGAACAAGATAAAAAAAATCATTATGAGTAGAAATTATTTCCGAAAATAGAATGATTACCAAACACATCCTTAGGCTCCGTTCGTTTGGCGGAAAATATTCTCCTTTTGGAAAATATTTTCCCGAAAGTCATTTTCCTGGAAAATGTTTTCCCGGAACATAATTTTTCGGTGTTTGGCGACCAATATGAAAAAGTTTCGGAAAATATTTTTCACCGGCGCGCGGCGGCGGCGGCGGCTCGCGGTCGGCGGGGCGGCGGCGGCCTGCGGCTCGGCGGCGGCGGCGGCGGCGCGACCGGCGGCCGGCAACCGATGGCGGCGGCGGCGCAGCGACCGGCGGCCGGCAACCGATGGCGGCGGCCGGAGCGGTGGGCCGCCGAGCGGCCGGCGGCGGCGACGGCCGGCGGTCGGCCGGCGACCGGCGACGAGCGGCCAACGGCAGCAAGCGGGCGGGCGGCCGGCGGCCAACGGTGGTGATCGGCGATCAACTTCCTCTCCCACGGAAAATATTTTCCCTCCCATGGGCAATTTTGCCTTCAATTTGGGGGAAAATGATTTCCTCTTTGTGAAAAGAGGAAATCATTTTCCTCAAAACAATGAAGGATTTGGGGTGGGGAAGGAAAATGTTTTCCCACGCCCCCGAACACCGGAAAATGCAAAAAATATTTTCCGAAAAAATATTTTTCCGTAAACGAACACAGCCTTAGTATAGACTACTGTTGACACCTAAATTTTGTCTAATCATTTAGGATTTTGTCGCATAGAAAATTAGGGTTTAATTTTTAACCCCTAAACCAAAAATATTTTCATTAAGTTACACGGCGTATAGACATTAGGCACATTTGCATTAATAGGGTCTATTAGAACATATCCAAAAAAAAAAAGGTTTTCCGGGCCAGGTCAGTCGGCCCATTCTTTTTCTTTCCTTTTTATTTTCGCGCGGCCCATCCTTTGTTTTCTTCCCTTGTTTTATTTTATTTTATTATTTTTTTTTCTTTAGCGCGGGCCGGTCCTCTCCTCTTAGGCCCGGCCCGCGCACTGTTCACCTTCTCTCCCCCAGCTTTGCTCAGCGTTTCTGAGCGTACGGGGGAGACGGAAGAGAAGCGAATAGAGGCCAGAACGGAGCAGAAGCCAGAGAGGCATGGGGCATGCCGGCGCGATCCTCGAGTCGGGATCAGGCCAGCCACGGCAGACTGGCGGTGGCAGGGGCCATGCGCGCCTGCCTGCTGGC